TATCAAAGCATTTTTTTTTTTTTTTTTTTTTTATTATTTTTTCGTCCATTCCAAGGACCTCAACGACCACCACAAGCATCTCAAGATGACATTCGATCTGCTACGCAAGCACGGTGTCTATCTGAACGACAAGAAACCACAGTTGTGTAAGACATCCGTCGTCTATGGCGGTCACATACTCTCTGGCGAGGGCATCAAGAAGTTGCACAGCAACGTCCAGGCTATCATGGAGATGCCCATCCCGTCCACAGTCAGAGAACTCAGAGCATTCCTTGGCGCATGTCAACACTACGCCAAGTTCCTCGATGGATGCAAGGATGCGTTCGCGCGTCTCACGAGTCTAGTCTCCAACAAGTTCACCAGACTCAAGCTGTCCGAGGAGCATCGGAAAGACTTCCAAACCATCCGCACTGCGTTGTGCAGCGACACATGTCTGATTGTGCCGCGCAAGGAAGTCCCTCTGAGGGTATACACGGACGCGAGCGACTTTGGTACAGGTTTACTGATCGCTCAAGAGGACGCCAACGTTACACCAATCAATCATCATATATATTAATAAATAAGTTTATATGATTCGTTCATTCATAGACAGTGGGTCTTCAATTACTAACTGTCATACTCTCAAGTGAACGTTCAATAATATTAAGAGTACATCTCTTTATATTAAAATAATAAAATAAAAGACTTTTTGGCTCCACGGAGAATCGAACTCCGGACCTCAGGTTTACAAGACCTGCGCACTGCCATCTGTGCTATAGAGCCCATGCAAAAATCCGATTTCCTTAAAATATTTTATTTTGGAAAAAATTGCAAAAATACATCAAGTGTAGTGATCTTACTCACTAACTCGCGCTCGTTGTAGTATGGACTACTACATCTAGATCATCTCACATCGGATATTGGTATAATAGATTATTGGTATTATACTCAATCGAACCACTTCCCATAGTGTCAGTTAACAAACACTCAGTTCCATACAATATACGCACTCACCTAATCACAACTGGTACATATAGTAGTTGTACTCATTCATTAAAGTTCATCCAATTATTCCCATCTTAAATCCTTGGGTGTCTATATTATCCTTCTGATTGATATCTATCTTATCCTATTAGTTATATAACTATATTACTTGTGTGTCTGGATCCAAAATACTTCATTATATTTGGCGACACCTGCAGTCCTTTACCCAGTTATATTAACTCCATATTAAGGTACTTCATTATATCAAGTTTATTACCCTATGATAAAGATTTCTAACTCTCTATCTATTTTAAAATCTAATTCAGTTTTCAACTTTATTTTTAAAGATAAAGATACCACTAAATGATGTAATTGAATGTTGGCAATTTTACTCCCTGGGAGTTTTTTCATGGACATCTATTTAAAGACCACTGTAAATGTAAAAACCTTTATTTTCGATACCTTATTAATTTATTATTTATTTTATCTCTATCTCTATTCCAAAGAATAATGCCATTATTTGATACATTCTATCATACATACAAGTAAGTTTACAAACACTTAACCATTGTCCTACAAACATTAACTTACCATTTGAAATAGACATAACTGGTCAGATATTTCTCTAGCCAGTTGGAGAAAATATCCATCCCCAGACAATCCAGATGTACTTAGTGTCGATATGATATCAAAGGAGTTGGATCCTATTACAGGTGTACTCACATGTCGCAGGCTAGTAATATGCAAGAGTTCAACTCCTGCTTGGATGCAATCTATATTTGGAGCTTCAGAATGTTTCTTTATTGAGGAATCCACTGTCGATCCGAAGACTCAGACAATGACTCTGAGGACTAAGAATCTATCCTTCACAAATATCATGGGTGTCGAGGAGGTTTGCACGTATACACCTGACCCAGACAATGCAGATTGGACTCAGTTCAAACAAGAAGCAAAGGTCACTGCCAATGTGTTTGGTGTAGCCAGCAGCATTGAACGCTTTTGCATCGATCGATTCAAAACTAATGCTCAAAGAGGAAGGAATATCATGGAAAGTGCCATTCTAAAGGTGAAGTTGGAGGCAGAGGAGACTGTACAGTCTATCGATAAGCTGATCACAACGGCCAAGAAAGAGGCAGAGGGCAGTTTACTGCAGATAGAGACAATACTGAAGGCCAAGGAGACAGCACTGGAAGAGACTTTGAGCGAATTGGAAAAGGATCTGAAAGGTCTAAAAGGAGGTGGATCTAGACTGAGATATTCATATTCACACATAAATAATACGAAGCCTCTTTATAAAGAGGCTTGATTTATATCAGTCAAATTCAAAGCTTGGAGTTTGTTCCATTTGCTCTATTGGCTTTGCTGACAGTGATGGTGGTTTGAGAGTTGGGATTTTTGATGGAGATGGAGGTAACAAGGAGGTCTTTAGACTAAGTCCAATCAGTGTACTGTTGTTGTTGAAAGGTGTTGATGTAGAGCCTGTACCTATTGGAGTGTTCTGGTGTCTGGTGCCTTGACCTGGTGCGTCTGAAAGTTTGTCCCATTATTGCCATTATCATTGCCACTCTCAAGTTTGAGGGTTGTGTGTGCCTTTTGAGTCAACTGGAGTTGGGCATTGACCATAGGTGGAGGTAGTGCCTTGAGTTGGCTATCTGCAGTGGTTGTTGTTGTTGGTTGGTAGATCGATTTGAAAGCAATGGCTGGAGGGCCAGAGGTTGTTGGTAGTGGACCAAGCTCCACCCCAGTGCATGTCTGTTTGTATTGGAAGAATACCTCGTCGGCCATTGACGGTGGAAGGTAAGTTTGTGTGACCTCTGCTTGATTATCGTAGGCGTGATTGTATTGATAGCCTTTGCCATAGCCCAATGTTTTCATCAAGCCAGTGGGAGCATTGCAGATGTGTAGTGGGACAGGTGGGTTGGCCTTCTCCATTACATATTTGGTTGTGTTGATGTAGGCCTCCTCCAACGAGTTGGACTTTGGTGCTTGGGCCAAGTAAACTGCCGCTTGCAACAGACTCAGTTTACACTCTGGCAATCCTACAAACTGAACTGCTTGGAATGCCGCCACCGTGATGCCCATCGCCAATGGATCTGCAAGACCCACATCTTCTGATGCCATGCGTATCATTCTTCTAGCAACGAAAAGTGGCTAGATGTTTGATGAAATGTGTGTTAGACAGATGTCATGGTCCTGTGTTCACATTAATTCCTACCTCTGACCCAGATTCCAACATCCTTACTAGCCAGTAGGTGGTTGCATTTGCATCACTGATTGGAGTGTGTGAGTTAAATTGATGATCATAGGTGGAAACATTTGGAAATGACATTACCTTCCTCTGATTGATTTGTGAAGTGCGGATATCATATCGTAGTGATTGTCACCTTTCCTGTTGAAGACAGATAAACAATCATGGTTATTATTATTTATTATGTCAGAGAGAACGTGGTCAGGAGTACTTACTTGTCATTCATTAAACTAGTCCTCTGTAGTAAACCACCAAGTTGGGCCCTGGTGATAACTATCTGTTCCTCACTAAACTTGCTTCCATTGATTGCCACTGATTGATCAAATAATAATGTTAATACATGTGTGGTCCTTATAACTTGTGTATACATACTCTCCACTACATTGATAGCGGCCCTTGCATCACCATCTGTTAGTTCAGCCAGAGTCCTAATGGTTTCGGCATCCATTGTCAGTTGTTTCCTGCCGTACTTGTTTGAAGAGTCAATGGCCCTATTGATGATCAGCTCTATGTTCTCAGGGGTCAGCTTGTTCAATACGATAACCTTGCACCGACTCTGTAGCGCATTGTTGAGATGAAAGGATGGGTTCTCTGTGGTGGCACCAATGAATGTGAATGTTCCATTCTCGATAAAGGGCAGTAGAATGTCTTGTTGGGATTTGTTGAATCGATGCACTTCGTCCAAGAACAGAACCGTCCTTTGTTTGTTAAAGGTGAGCTTCTGCTCGGCATTCTTTACTACCTTTCTAATCTCATCAACTCCACATGATACAGCAGATAGTGATACAAATAATGAATCGCATTTGCTTGCTGCCAACTTTGCAAGCGTTGTCTAATAAGAGGTAGAGAGAGAGAGATAGAGTCAGTGTCGTGATCCAGAGGAGTGTGAGTGGCATTGACATTATCAATGAACCTACCTTTCCACATCCAGGAGGACCCCATAGAATGAACGATGGGAAATTCCCACTCTTCATCAAGTTGGCCATGAGAGAGTCTGGAGCCATAATCTGTTCCTGACCGACAAACTCATCAAAGTCATCTGGCCTGATCTTCTCTGCCAAAGGCATACTTCTCATGTTTGTGAACCTCTTCTCTTGCTTTGTATTTACATGGGTGTTGTGGTTGTTGGTGGAGTCATTATTGTTGTTATTGTGTGATGTAGTTGAGTCATTGTTGTTGCTTGTAAATGGATGTTGTGATTGTATTCCTGCACTTGGGTTCGTTGTAGTAGTGGTAGTTGTTGAGGTATTGGTCGTTGGTTTACGTATGAGTATTGAGTCGAATAGATTGGAAGAGGAAGAGGATGTTGTGGGGATGGATGGTTGATGCTTCTTCTTTGGTGATTGATTTGAGCCACATTCCTGTACATGATCACTCAGTTTAAACATCATAAACTCTTTCGAACAGAATGGACATGGTGCATATTGTGTTTTGTCTGGTGTAGATTGACTGCTAGCATTGTTGTTGTTGTTGTTCCTGTTGTTGTTGTTGTTGTACTTGTTATTGTTGTTGTTGGGATTGAGATTGATAAATGGTAATGTTGTTTGTATTGTTTGTGATGGAACAGTGGCAGGCAGACTCTGTAGATGTTGAGCCTGAATTTGCTGTTGTTGTAGTTGATGTTGTTGTTGTATTGATGGAGTGGTGAGCGATAGTTTCAAAGGAGGTTTGGTTGGCGTAGTCCTACGTTGGACACCAGCAGCAGGGCTCAGTGTAATAGGTGGTTGGCTTGGAGGTGGCTCCTCAAAATCAAACTCTATAGCTTCATCATCATCATCATCTCCATCAACATTGACAACTTCCTCCAATGGTCTTTTCATCTCTCTCTCTCTCTCTCTCTCTCTGTTGTATATAGTTTATCTGTAGGAATGAGAAACTACAATAAATAAGTTTGATTTTGAAATTACGCGCCTTTACTAATCTATGAGTGGGGTGTCGGACCATCCAAATAGACAATCCAGGAGATCGATTGATCAATTCCTGGAATACCTCAGAGGTCTTAGATCAGAAGGAAGAGTTGTGTTGTTGAACATCAACGATGACAATGATAGAGACGACAACGAACAAGTTCAAAGGTTCGAATGAATCTGTTATCATTTAGTGCTAGGCTTGGTACTACTCACGCCAGTGTTGTTGTTGTTGTTTGGCAACATTATATCGTTTGAAGAAAGATTAAGGATCCAACCTTGCTTTGTCAATATCTGTTGCAAGTCTGCATAGAGAGGGAATGTGGAAAGCGTCGACAGACTTCCAAATATCAATAACTTCTTCCTTGCCCTTGTGAATGATACATTCAGACGTCGCCAGTCCTTCAACAGATCACCAATCTGTATATGGTAGGGATATTCAATGAACATCAACATCGTTCATGTTAGCTAGATGGTTGATTGATTGATTGTTTGGTATCACTTGATGAGTAACTTACAGAAGACTGGTCATTGTTCCTAACCATTGAGATGATTATACAGTCCTTGTCCTTGCCCTGATACTTGTCAATGGTGAGAATGTCAATGTCAGAGTAGGGCAATGCCTGAGTGCCATGGCGAGAGCTCAGTGAATGTTTTTGGAATAGTTCACTGATCGCCTGCTTGATGTATCGCAGTTGAATACGATTGGGAGAGATCACTCCAATGTCATTCTGAGTGCAACCAGAGTTGAGGAGACACTCGACGACAGTGGCCACGCCAACTGCCTCGATGCTATTGGCATAGAGATCGCCAAATCGCTGCTCCTTGCTCTGTTCGATGGAGTCGGTGTTGATGAATAGTACACGGACATCCGACTTGCATGCCCGATGCACCCAACTGCTCGGAGGATAGAGTTGTGGGTCGATGCGCACAGGCAACATCCAGTTGGCTTGTTGTGTGCCTCCACATCTCAGTCGTCCATTATAGATCAGTTCGTTTGAGAGCATCATAATGTCATTGCACATTCGATATTGATAGTATAGGTAGGACACTGCGTTTGGAAAGGCACAGCTGAGTCTCTTGAACAGACTCTCCTCCATACCCAATCTCTTGGCCTCACTGTTCTGTACCAATGGTGGGAGCTAATCGATGATAATATTAGTATCCATTCGTGTTGCGATGACGTGATCATACATACCTGGAAGTGATCACCAACTAGAACGAATGTCTTGCAATACTTTAGTGCACCAAAGCATGTTGGTTGTGTCAACTGTGATGCCTCATCGATGATACAATAGTCAAACATCCTGGAGATGTTAAAGTAGGCATGGTTCACACCGAGACAGGTTGTGGCCACAATGCGCTGAGCGTCAAGGAAGGTCTTCATCGATGTGATCGATTCAAATTGTTGAGACTCCAGACAGTACTTCTGGATGCTGGCGCCAACCTGATTGATGTTGGATGCCAATCGCAGGAACTTGCCTACGCCAACCTCAACACACTTCTCGAGCAGTGCATCGAGGGACGTATGTGTGTACGACGTCACCAATACTGACTTGCCAAGTCGTGAGAGTATGTTGACCAGGTTGGCAATGGTCAGAGATTTGCCCGTACCTGGCATGCCCAGTATCAAGGCATAGTCGCGTGCAGAGAGCACAGACTGTATCGCTTTCTGCTGGTCGTTGTTCAATTGCTTCATGTGTTTGGAGATATCGGTGGACACAGTGTGCAGAGGATCAAACTGTGGTGGGACCAAGTCGACGACTAGATCTCGTAGTCTTTCGTTGGCCTTTGACATGAACATGTTGAACAGACTGGTCTTGAGCATGAGGTATCCAGAGGTGGATCCCTCGTCCTTGTCGATTCTGAACATGTACTTTTGCTGTTGTTCGTTGCCGTACAGCTCAAAGTTCTTGCGTGATCGATTCATGATGTTCCTCGTCGGACTGACGTGTGGCAACTGTTGAGAAGCTTGTGATCGCTGCTTCCTGTTCCTTCTCCTCATCTCTTGACTCTTGACATCATCATCCTCGTACTCTATCTGGATCATTGGCTTGACCTTTGGATTGCTCCTCAATGCCACAGAGCATAGTCCATTGACACCAAAGTCATCATTGACAATTGTTGGTGCATCTTCAATGACAGTTGGTGGTTCCTATACATTGGTACCCAAGGTTAGTACTGGTATTCCATCATGAATGATAACAACATGATACATACGGTTATCTTCTCTCTACATATGACCTTGATAGAGTGTGATGCTATATCAGTGACTTGACCAGCCGATACACCATAGTACTTGTCCTCGATTGATATTGTAACATAGTCACCCTTAAAGAATAGTGAGTTTGTTATCTTGTCCTTGTCCTGTACACTGAACTTGTATAAAACACCACCCTCTGGCAATGTCTTCTCCTTCTCCAATGTCATTGCTCCAATACATCTGTCAGGTAGTATGAGTTAGTTCATCATCCAAGCATTGTTTTCAGTCAGTCTAACATACAATCCCTTGTCCTCTCTGAACTTGCTTGGATAGTTCCAGATCAACTTCCTATAGTTGTTGTTGGATTCCAACTCCAATGATATCAGTTTGTTCCACTTCTTCAAGTACTCTAGATGCGATGGTTTGAGATGTGATGTCTTGCTGTCGAACAAGTCACCAAGTCCACTTGTATGTCTGTCACCATTCTCAACAGACTATATTATTTGATGGTTGGTTAGTATCCAAATATGGTGGAGGAAGTAATGATAAATAACACTGAGTGGACCTACCTTGTGATGAAGAAGACATTGATCGATGAGATAGCACTTGGCACAGATGTGTGGCTCCTTGAGCATCTTTGGCAGTATTGGATTGGGATTGAGCACCATTCTGTTGTTCTGATTTATATAGTGTACCAAGATATTGCGTGCCACAATCAATGATCTGATCTGATTTCGAGTTGGGAGTACTGGATGAATCAATCCATAGTTCTTGCCAACCTTTTCTTTGGAGTTCTTTAGGTAGTACAATAATCCAAGGTTGATATCCTGGTCTATATATGTTAAGGTTGGTGGATTGTTAGTCACATTGAATGGCAGGTAGGTGCGCTGTTGTTGACACTTACTATATCTATCATTCATCATCAATATGTAAATCAACACTTGTGAAGTGTGAGAGATGAAGGGTACCTCGAATGGCTTGCCAGTCTTGATCTCGAATGGCACGTTGAGGTACTTGACAGAGTCATCAGTGTTGGTTGTAGTCTTGCTCTGCCTCTTGCCCTTGGAGGGAGATTGCTTCTTCCTCTTGGAGGGCGACTCGAATGGCTTTCTCAGCTTGATCTCCACGGACGAGTCGATCTTACCCTTCAGTCCATACATTAGAGACCAGATATTCTCTTCAATGTCCAATACCTTTGTGATCTGCATGTGCCACTTTTGATTCTCAATCTCGATGATGTTCTTCTTGCTGTTCTGGCTGTCGATGAATGTGTTGCCAAAGTTCTGGATGGTGCTCTGCCAGAGCTCAATGTGATTGGATGCCTCGTCGTGTGTCTCACCAAGAGACGATAGCTTCAGAGCATAGTTGGGCTGCAGTAGTACGTCACGCTTGTATGAACTGATGTACTCCTTCTCGAAATGAATCTCACTGAGACATCGCTGGAAGACCTCATGCACAATACTTCCATACAGTGGCACAGTGCTATTGAACTCACTGGACATCTGCTCCTTGAGAAGGGCACGCCGCGAGCATGTGAAGCTGCCACCCAGCTCAGTGCCTGTGATCAGAAGGTCTGGGTGCAGGACGATCAGGTTCTTGTTGTTGTCCACAACGAATGCACCATGCTCCATGTCGTACTCGCCAATGACGTTTAGAACATCGCCTGAATTGATGGGCGTGTAGCACCACTCTCCAAACAGCCACACAACTCGCTCGGTTGCCAGTTCCTCGCTGTAACATCGCACTGTCTTCTTGTGAATTGGGTTTGATTGTTTGGTCTCGCCTGGGAACACTTGGTAGTTGACCTCAATGGCAATGAGTCTCTCGTAGCGCTTTGTTGATGATGGTGTACGTGATAATGTTGTCGTCGTGATTGGTACGTTTGCATGCTGTTGCAGCGCTCCAAGCAGATTGTTGGATGGTTGTGAGGCACGTGATTGAGTGGGCAATGAAAAGTCAAAGGATAATTGTGACGCTTGACTGAGGGTGCTTGGTTCCATCTGCTCGTACAGGCCCTTGGGTTTGAATGGAGAGTCTATCAATGGCATTGAGGACATTGCAAATGGTGAGAACTCAAAGTCATCGTCGTCGCTCAGTGTCTGGCTTGGCTTTGGTGATTGATGTTGTTGTTGTTGTGGTGTTGCTGAATGGAATGGAGTGATTGGAGGGGCCATTGATGTACTGATTCTCTTTTGTTGATCCTGATGATCCTGTTGTTGTGGTTGTGGCTTCTTCATAGGGGATACTGAGGTCTGTTGTTTGGATGTCTTTGGAGGTGGTTTGTTGACTGGTGCTACAGGCACTGTGTCCAAAGAGAACCGGCTATAGAGTTGATTGCTTCTCGACATTGGTGGACCATTTGGAGGAGCTGGTGTCGGTGCAAGAGGTGCTGAAGCTGAGGATGATGATGACCTTAATTGTTGAAGCAACTGGTTAAACTTTGATGGCTCATTGCTGTTATTGTTGTTGCTGGTCATTGCTCGCTTGCGATTGAGAATGTCGGTGAGCTTGTCATTGCTGTCATTCAACTTTGTGATGGTCTTGTCGATATTGAAGTAAGATGACTTTGATTGATAGAGTGGCATGTTGGGCTCGGTACTTGATATTGTGCGCATTGTCTTTTGGGCGATGAAGTCACCGTCATCATCCGATTCCACCATGAGCACATCATTAACTTTGTTATCATCACCATCATCATCGATGTATGTCACCTTTGAATTACTTCTGCTGTTGATGTTGCTGTTGCTGTTAGATGCACTCTTGAGCTTAGACCTTGAGGTTGGCTTTGCTGGTTGCTTCCTCTTCTTGGTTGATGCTTGTTGGATGTTCTGTTGTTGTTGCTTTCCTCCACGGGAGGGAGGAGCACGTGACACATAATCATCATTGTCGTCGTTTGCATCATCTGATTCATCTGTATCTGGCTTGGTCACAGGTTGGAACCACTGGTGAGTGGCAGTTGTTGTGGTTGTTGTCGTCGTGGCTGTGGTCTGTGTCTGTCTGATCGGAGTGACAGAGTCATACAACGAAGAGATATCGAGTGATGGCTCTATATAGCTATCAATCTCGTCACACAACAGGTCGATACGCTTTGGTCTGCTATGCTGATGAGGTGTTGTCGTTGTTGCTGCTGTTGGATTGCTCGCGCCTGGTCTTCCATTCATTTGATCAGGTACATGTTAACAAGAGTACATGTATAATATTATGAGATTATGTTGGAATGAACACAAAAGACACCCAACTTCGCTTCAAACGATGATGGATAATCAACTTTTTTTTCTTAGAATCGATCCTTTATTTCAAACTGTGACCGTCGACTTTGAAAGTGCCAGGATGGTCAGTCCATAGGTGAGCGGTGTTGATGACCAGTATGGGAATGCCGATGGATTATAACTGGTCCAGCTGATGGGTACTGCACTGCCAAACCATGTCTCGGTTAACATTTGTTGATACTCGGTCTCGTTGATCACGCCAGACACTGCACCGATGATCTCCATCGTGTCGCCTCCTGGCTGAGCATTTGGATTGCATGTCGTGCCATTGAAGTACTGACAAAGATTACTTGGGAAGAATAAAGGGAATGAGCTCATACTCTTCATAGATCCACTAAAGAAAGCATTGTATGTCTTGGAGGAATCAAACATTACGTTATCCTTTAGGTATGATACACCACCCTCGATGATGGCCTTCAAGGTGGGCGGAGTTTCCTGTCGCCACACACGCTTGGGTCCACCTGGAATAGGAAATGTCCAAGTGTCGTACAGTGCATTCAATGCCAGTGCGCTGCTGGCGAATCTGTCCTCACCATACTCTTTCTTCTTTCCAAATAGAGTGTCATCATTGCCCAAGAAATCTTGCCAATAGAATCCACCTTGTTGGTCTTCCAGAGCTCTTGATACTATCTGATTGGTTCCATTATTCATCATAACTGATCGAAGTGTTTCCAATGTGTTGGTCAACTGTTGAGGTGTTGCAGTAAGTAGGTATTTTGTCATTGATGGTGAGAGGTCATTAACTTACAAGTTGAGGGAATGTATCTGGAGATGTCTGATTGTACTCCTCAAGGAAGAAGACTACCCTACTCACGAACCAACTATAATCATAGATGGATGGATAGTAGAGTAGGGCAAGGTCTGGCCTTGAGTATACTATCTCACTATTGATACCATAGGCCAATAGCTTATATATCGATGTTACCATACGTTCAATGTCTGGTGTTATGATACCAATACCATGCAGCTTGATCACCGTGGCAATGCCAAACAATGAATTACATGCCACTGACAGATCGATATTGTTCTCATTGAATGGCATCTGAAGGTATGGGAAATATCTTGATTGTTGTGAGATTGCATCCACCCAAGTGCCAGGAAGTACTAGATCCTCCGGTGCATTTCCATCGGCAATCCATTGATGTAAGAATCCTCTGATTATATAATATGTACGTGGATCGATAGAGTTCTGATCGACTTGGTTTGAATATGGTCGATAGGCATAGCGACTATATTGCTCCAGAGTGTAGGTGACGTTGGTATTGTTTCCTGACCACATGCGCCATGAGTTTGGCAGGTCGTCCTGCAACTCGTATAGAACACCACCCAATGCTAGGTTGCAGCCAGTGTCGTCCGTGTCTGGGGGTATATGGAAGACGACCTGCATTGTCTTGATGAACTGTCCCATTGACTTGAGATCAGTGACGATTCCATACTCTTTCAGTAGTTCTGCGACAAAGATAGCAGCATCCTCATATGTGTCAAACTCGTTCATCAAACTGACCAAGTTGTAGGGGCTCTGGTAGAAGATACCAGCACTAGAGTTATAGACCTGTGGCCAGAATGTGTAGATTCCACTACCTTGAGGTGAGTTGCCATCTGAATATGATATCAAGGCTTCCACAGCCAAGTCTATCATATGTGCGTCACCTGATATTGTGCCCATTCTCTGTGATTCCAACAGAGTGTATAACATAAATGTTGTAACAAACATATTACTGTCTGGTATGGCCAACTGTCTCCTTGCCTCTGTCTTTAATTCATCACCACAAAAGTTAATATGAACAGCAGTTGGAAACAGTCCTTTTTGTTGATGCCAGGACTTGAAGAAATCAAATGACTGGTCCGATCTATGATTATAGATTAAGTAAGTAGTTTGTTACATGATGATGTAATGTTTATCTTATTCTTACTGGAATTGTGATTGTTGGATGGAATCAAACAATGTGTCTATTACACGTTGAGTTGATGGGTGGAATGGTGAATCAAATGCATTCACACCCAACAATAACAACGATGTTGTTAGAACTAACAAATTTATGTTCATTGTCATTAATATATTATTATATGTATGAAGATGTATATATATGTATTATAAATCTAAAGTATCTGGCTTGAATACTGTGATGTTGTTTGTATCTGGATGGATGGTTGTTGAGGGCAAGCCCACCCCAACAACAGGAAGAGGATTATGACTGATCTGAGGAACTTGAATGTGGTTGGTGGGGGTCACCTTACATCACCACCAAACATTTAAAACGACGAAAGGAGATGAATGAGCCGAAGGCATTATGATGAGTAATAATAATAATAATAATAATAATAATAATAATAGTAATATATTATTGAATGATTGACTTGTATCATTGCAGATAACTGCTGATTATCTATTAGACAGACCAGCACAATGACAGCCATGACTCGAGATGGGATGGATGGATTAGATTAGATGGACAATCCTCCCGCCATGTGTGAGTGGCAGACAGGAGATCTCCTTGTGTTGTTGTTGTTGTTGTTGTTGTTGTTGGACTGCGGCCGGACATAGGCGAATGAACGCAAGCAGCTTGCGAGGTGTTCGGATCGATTCGATGATTCCAAAGTGGGTTGGTGCGGTAAAAAGGTTAGGTTGGGTAGTTGATCGATTGATGTTGGTAGATGAAAGGCAGGAAGGTAGGAAGGTAGAAGGACTGTAATGATATTAAATCTCACCCTCTTCTTCTTGTTCGAGTGAGATGTCATCCAGAAAGACGTCAGACTTTAGCTCCTGCAATGGACCGTTGTAGACGACACCGGCAATCACTGTGATGTCATCCAACTTGCCGCCACTAAACACGTAGCCGTTGAGTCCAGCGTTCTTGCAGAAGGGTGTAAAGGTGTGCGAAGACTTGGCCACCTCGTATGCGCGCTTGGCAATCATCGAGGCAATCTTGTAGGGGTCGTCACGGTACTTGAGGGAGATACGGCAGATCTCCTCGTCAAAGAGGTTGTCAAACACGCCATCCGTGCCCATCACTATGATGTCGCCCTCCTCAACCTCGAACGATGATGTCACCGAGTGGATGGGACGGTCGATCGACTGCATGCCCAGTTGGTAGGGCATGTTAAAAGCATGCTGTTGTTCGCGGGTCCTAAAGTACAGCTCCTCACGACGGATGATGAGGAAGCCACTGTCACCAAGATTGGCAGACATCAAGTTGTTTTCGTCCAGCACCACGATGCAGCAGGTGCTGCTTCCCTTGACGTGCTGCGAGTGGATGTAGGCCTTCTCCATGATGTCGACTGGGTGGCGACTTTCGGTCTCTTGGTTGCTGGCCAGCCTAGCACCATCCATCAAAGTGTTGGAGTAGAGGCTTGGATCGATGCCGACGTCACCCCAGCCACCTACGCCGTCTGCCACGCCCAGCACACGTCGATCCTGACTGATAAAGTAGGCATCCTCGCCTCCCTTGTGTCTCTTGTTTGGATGTGGAATAACGCAGATTCCAGAGTGAAAGTGGAGGTTACCGTTGCCGCTGCTGGTCGTGTCCATCTCGACGTCAGTGTTGACCTCGAGGACGGATGGCACCGACGAACCCTCCTCTGTGGCAGCAGCCTTTAGTGCCTGCTCCTTGCTTGCCTCATCAACAAATGACATCTCTGGGTTGCTAGTCAAGTCGGGTGATTGATACTGCTGCTGCTGCTGCTGCTGGATGTCTGTGTCTGTGGATGTGGTTGATGTGGTTGATGTGGTTGATGTGGTGGTTGTGGTGGATGTGGTATCCTCTTGATGGTTGTTGTCCAAAGAAGAAGAAGAGGTGTCGTTGTCTACGACAGTATCAATCAGGTCTGGCATTGGGACCATTCCTGGAGAGAACAAGTCTGGAGAGATTGGTGCGCCCGCCAACAAGAACGATGGTGATATCAAGATTCCCAACGTCTTTAGTCTATCCTGTTTGGTATTTCTATATTGTCTTTGGTGTTGTTGTTGCTGTCTTTGCTTATTATTATTATTAAAGTTATATTGTTGTTTGCGTTGTTGTTGTTGTGATGATGATGATGAGGAGTATTGTCTGTTTTGTTGTTGGCGTGAAGATGAAGAAAAGATTGAGGATGAAGAGGATGATGATGCAGTAGTAGTGTTACAAGTATTCTTTAGCTCGCTGTTGACAGATGTTGTAGTAGTAGTAGTAGTAGATTGATTTCTTTGACACTGCCTCAGAGAGTTCAATATAGATTGCTGCTGTTGTTGTGATGATCCTGATGTTGATGATGATGCTACTGATCGGCTATGTCTCATCAAAGAGTACAGATACATGCACTGGTGTCTTGGATTCATAAACTATGTTTGTTAATATATATATATGTATTGTTATAATGACAATAATACAGATCACCTCAACACTCTATATCTATCTATCTATATCTCTACCGTCGATGTTATTTACTTGTTAGAGTACGTTGGAATGAAAGTGGCACACGAGTCTGATGGATCAGGGAGCTCGCTCTTCGGGTGGTCCACTCGTTTGTTTGATTATTTGCATTGCAAAAAAGATCAAATGGGCGCATCATGCTCACCCCACAATCATAAATCTCAATTCCTTTCCTTAATTGTGTGTATGTGCGTGTGGTTCAACCAACGACAGATCATGACTCGCCCACTCACTGGGCATGAACCCATTCATTCGTCTCTCGGAATTGGTACTTGACTATTCGACACTGATCATCGATTTTAATTGTCGTTGGTATGAAGTTAATTGACGATCAGTCATCTGTTTGTTGTTCTTGATTTGTCCAAGTACACTATGCATTGTGCACTCATCCAACTTGATACCGAATCGTTTGTTGACATACTCCAATACCTGTAGCATATTGTCAACATCAATGACAGCTGGTCGCTTGGTGACACCAACCACTGACTTGGTGCGACGATTGTTCATCACAGTATAACCATAAACAATGAGATCCAATATTGATCGAGTGAATTCATTTGTATCCAAGTCATCCAACACTTTGATGACCAGTTGTGATGAATGTGAATGATAGGCCAGTGAGTAGGCCACTATTGCATGGTTCATTGGTCGTTGATCTCTATACCTTTTCATATCTTGGAGTAACAATCTTAGTGTCTTGCCATCAGATTGTGTTGTTGTTGTCGTGCCATCCTTTGGTACAACTGATACCAGTCCATAATTCAACTTGCTGTAGCCATAGATCAAACAAGAGTGAATGAATTGATTTGGTTTGAACTTCCACTCGCTTGGTATTGTCTTGATCATTTGGTTGGCCTCGTCCAACTCATCCATCTTGACCAAAGTACTGTAGAGCAGTGCTAGGAATGTGTGACCATTGGGCTTGACCGAGTTGTTGACCGAATGTCTCTGAAGCACCTCATTGTCCAGTGGCTTGCCCTGCTCTGCCATCATCTTGAGCTTGGCATTGAACAGCTCTAGATCAGGATATATCTTCTCCTTTGCCATGATGGCCTCAATGCGATCCACCATGTCCAAATGACTGTGCTGATAACAGTAGCTGAGTATCGACTTGAAGAAAGGTAGATCGCGTGCCACCTTTGTCGAAGTCATTGGTTGTTGGTCTTTGCACACTACATCGTCATTATCCTCCTTTCTCAATCTTTCAAACTCTTGTTGATGTACCAATAGCTCCTCGCGTTCACCAGAGAACACAGAAAGCTCGTTCAACTTGTCGAGGAACTCATCCACGGGCTGGTTCAGACGTCGGTAGTACTCCAAATAGATTGGGAATAGTTCATATGGTATATCGTAGTTGACGTCCAACATGTGTTGAATGAGCATGTCGGCACTGGTGGCTTGATTCAGTGAAAGGAATGCCTCGATAAAGTTGGCAAAGTCAGTGGCTTCCAGTCTATCCACAACGTATTGTCGTTCCAGTGTCGAGAAGAAGTGATACAGTTTGGCCTTGGACTTGAGATGTCGGAAGAGATGCTGATAGATTGGACGTGTGCGTGTACGCTGCTTGTTGGCCAGATCAACGATTGCCAAGAAATCCTGGCCGTCAGCCAATCGCTCAATGTCGTGTTTGCAAGTGACGTCGATCTCGTACTGAGTGTGAGTGTCCAACAGCATGCCAGAGGCACGCTTGAATAGGTTGCTGTGAGAGAACAGTTGAATGGAGTAGAGATGAAGGTAGACGCGATCCTCGAAAGTGATTGATCCAGGGTTTGCAGTGTCCATGGCCAACAACTCATCGACACGTTTCGCGTCAAAGAAGTTCTGGAAGGGTTGTGATTGATTGGATGAGTGGACCAGGTGAGTGGCAGTGTCTTGCTCCTGTGCCTTTAGTCCTCTGCTTGCGGTTCGCTTCAATTTATAGCTCTGTTTCAGACGTCGCTCAATGCTCGCCCTTGCCTCTTTGCTCCACTCCTCAGTGAGCTTACGCTCAAGTCTCTCTTTGATTGCCTGTCGTCCTAGGACGTCCTGCTTGGCTGAGCTGTCAATGACGACGTTTGACATGCCAAATGAGAATGCCAGGTTCTGATTGTTGGCACCCTTTCGCTTCATCTCGTTGGTCTCCTCCTCGTTGATCCAATGCCGCCACTGTTGATCAGAGATTGCAGCCAATCTCCGTTTGATTGATAGACCAGACAGTGGCAAATGAGACCAATCATGTGACTTCCTCGATGACAATGGTCTTGACTTTATCAACTCCATTGGTAGACCACTCTTACTCTTTCTCTTTACAATCTTACGAAGTTGCAACATATCATTCATCAATTTTCTCTCTGCTTCTCCTTCTTCGATTGTTTGTTGTTGTTGTTGTTGTTGTTGTTGTTTCTCAAGCTTTGGTTTGATAGAGGCTGAGGAGGACGTTGATGATGAGGATGATGGTGTTGTCTTTGTCGTGTAACAATGTTGAAGAAGTGGGCCATTAACTTGATATGATGAATACCTTCTGATCAATGATGATGTAAACAACAAGCCATGCCTTCTCGACAAGGCTGAATGTATTGACATCATGTCTGTATCTCTATCTATCTATCTCTATCTCAAGAACACTGTGCATATGATTCAAAGAAACGAATTGAAACGAAACACACGAGTCGTTTCCTGGACAACCAAAGTCCACGAATGAAGTTATACAATGTTATTGATTTATTATTCTTACTAATTTAACTGTAGACACATTAGTTGGTTGATGATGATGTTATCAATAGCTCACTTGTCTTCTCATCCACATCAATTGTGACGGTCTGTCTCTCTTGTATCTTGCCCTCGAGTATCATCTTGGCCATTGGGTTTAGAAGGTACTTCTGAACCACACGCTTCAATGGACGTGCACCGTACACTGGGTCATACCCTTGATCGGCAAGCCAGTTGAGTGCCTTCTGTCGAACGACGATTGCGATCTGTCTTTCGCTCAACAGCTTTCTGAGATCTTGAAGTTGGATGTCCACGATGTGATCCATGTCACTGCGGGAAAGACGATTGAACAGAATAATGTCATCGATACGATTGAGGAACTCGGGCTGGAACCTGGAGCGCACAACACTCATCACCTCTTCGCGTGCTGATGAGCTGGGTGTGCCCTCTGGCAGATTGGCCAGGATGTCGGCACCAAGATTGCTCGTAAGGATGACCATTGTGTTTCTAAAGTCTACTTTTCTGCCCTGACTATCGGTGAGATGACCGTCGTCGAGCATCTGCAGCAGTAGGTTGGATACCTCGCGATGGGCCTTTTCAAACTCGTCAAACAGCACCAGTGAGTAGGGTCGTCTGCGCACGGCCTCTGTGAGCGTGCCACCCTCTTCATAGCCAACGTAACCGGGTGGTGCACCAATCAGACGGGACACTGAGAACTTCTCCATGTACTCTGACATGTCAATGCGAATGAGTGAGCTGGGACTGTCAAACATAAACTCTGCCATGGTCCTGCAGAGTTGGGTCTTGCCAACACCAGTTGGTCCGAGGAATAGGAATGAGCCCAATGGTCGGTTGTGTGCATGCAAGCCTGCTCGACTGATTCTCACTGCGTTCGACACGGCGGTAACTGCCTCGCTCTGTCCAACAACTGAGCTGCCAATGGTCTCCTCCATGTGTAGCAACTTCTCCTTCTCGCCCATCATCAAACTGTGCACTGGGATACCGGTGGCTTTGGAGATGACCAAAGCAACGTCCTTGGCAGTAACAGCCTCACTGATCATTGACAGATTAAGCTCCTCGCCTTCTTTTGGTAGCTGACTCTCCAGCTCGGGGATGATACCGTAGGTAAGCTCTCCAGCACGTGTAAGGTCTCCCTTTCTCTGAGCCTGTTGTAGCTCGATCCTAGCATTCTCCAGCTTCTCTGCGGCGGTCTTTCTCTTTTGTAGCTCGATCTTCTCCTTGAGCCACACATCAGTGAGACGGTTGCACTCTGTCTCCTTCTCCTTGAGGTCATTCTCCAACTTCTCCAAACGCTCCTTTGACACTGCGTCCTTCTCCTTCTTGAGTGCTTCGATCTCGATCTTGGTAATAATGATCATTCGGTTGAGATTCTCAATGTTCTCTGGCTTGCTCTCCTGTTGCAATCTGAGTCTGCTGGCCGCCTCATCAATGAGGTCGATTGCCTTGTCTGGAAGGAATCTGTCGGTGATGTAGCGCTGTGAATTGACGCAGGCTGACACCAACGCACCATCGGTGATGCGCACTCCATGATGTACTTCGTAACGTTCCTTCAGACCACGCATGATGCTGATGGAGTCCTCCACGGATGGCTCAGTGACGAGCACTGATTGGAAACGTCTGGCCAATGCTGGATCCTTCTCAATGTACTTTCTGTACTCTGATGTTGTCGTTGCACCGACACAATGAAGATCACCACGTGCCAGTTGAGGTTTGAGCATGTTGGATGCGTCCATGCCACCTTCGACAGCACCTGCGCCAACCAGTGTGTGCAGTTCGTCGATGAATAGGATGACCTCACCTTTGAAATGGGCGACATCCTTTAGAATCGACTTCATTCTCTCTTCAAAGTCTCCTCTAAACTTGGCACCGGCTACAATTGAGGCAAGGTCCAGTGATAGTACTCTCTTGTTCTTAATACTGTCAGGTACATCTCCATTGATGATTCTCTGTGCTAATCCTTCGACAATCGCTGTCTACATGTATGTTTGATGTAAGTATGTATGTTAGTGATGAGAACGCAGTTGTTGCATCATGTCCTCGAGGGCACCTCTTCATACCTTTCCAACACCAGGCTCACCGATCAAGACAGGGTTGTTCTTTGTTCTCCTGCTCAGAACTTGAATGGTCCTTCTGATCTCTTCATCACGTCCAATGACAGGGTCAAGCTTGCCACTCTTTGCGATCTCTGTTAGATCTTTGGTGTACTTCTTCAATGCATCTCCAGGGGGAATCGCATCAGGGTGTACCCAAGGCTGTTCGGGTGGTGGTCTCTGTCCTCCAGCACCTCCAGCACCAGGTCCTCCTGGTCCATACTGATAATATCTCTTGATGACACTGTGTCTAGTAGTGAGATCCCCAGCGACCTGTGTCAAACGAGTCAATGATTTATTGCTGCTACTGTATGATTGCTGCTGCTGATGCACCTGACCCAGTTGAGAGGTAGGAGCAACGACAGTGGATGACTTGTTTAGCCACTTTGTCAAGTAGTGTTGACAAGTGGCTTTGCTAGTTGATTGTAATGATGCTAGCCGAATCATCTATATATCTATTTGACTGTGAACAAAGTAAATGTGTTTGTTCGTTTTATTTATTATTGTATTTGTTTAGATAAGTGAGTATGAACGTGTAAGTGTTGAGACACTAGTGTCGTTAATCGTCTTGTTGTTAATCAAATTCTAAATGGTCAATTTAGACACCTTTGAATGACTTGTCATTGAATGTTAACTTGTCCCCGCATTATTTATCCCATAAATTCCTTTGAAATTTCATCCAAATTCAAATTAAGATTGACATTTATGGTATGATGCCCACAATAAGTAGTATCAAACATATAACATACTTGTGGATTAATTGCCATTAATGGATTGGATTGGGTTCATGGTACTCAATACCATCATATAAATAGACTTCTAGAACTCAATTTAAAAGCCCATTAATTGTTATCAATATATACTTACATAAATAATGAATAGAATACCATCAATTTTAAAGACTGTTGGACAAAGAGGTGTTTGCAATGCAATTAGACCAATGACAACCCCAATGGTCCCCACAAGACTATATACCACCAACTCTAAGGACAATACAGACCATTCCACATCTTCAAATAAATCAAAGGATGTAGATATGACAACAAAACAACATCGTAAGTAGTTAAATACTTACAATATTACAATCTTTAGAATACTAATATTTAATTATAACAATAATCAGATAGGAGTCCAAGAAGATATGACCCTTTTGATTGGGAGGATACTATGAGGTTGTTCAATGAACCATTTGGAAATAGATGGATGAAGATGTTTGACAATGGAGTAGATAACTTCTTTTCAAAGGACTTTGCTGGTGGTTCAATGCGAAGTCCTAGGGTATTCTGGGAGGAGAAGGACTCAAACTATGCTCTAAAGATTGAGCTACCTGGTGTACACAAGGATGACATCAAGGTCACCTTTGTCAACAACAAGTTGGTGATCGAGTCAAACAAAGAGGAGAAGAGTGAGCAAGGTGGAACTAAGAGACATTCAAGGTCCTCGTTCTACAAGTCAATGACTCTACCAGAGGATGCAAATCATGAGAATATCAATGCCAAGATGGAGAATGGTTTATTGGAGATTGATATTCCAAAGACTACAGTACAAGAGTCAACAAAGAAAATCAATATCAATTAATGGTCCATGTTGTTGAACTGGAATACATTGTTAAATAGAAACAAAGAAATAAAATTAAAAATAAATAGATTAAAAGTAACAACTGATTGGGATGGATGGATGGATGGTGTATTAAGGTCTTTGGCAGTAGTAAGAAAGGATATGATGTTGTTGATGATAACAATAAGTTTGATACGTCCAACACTGTGCTTGTAACGAATCGCCAATCCTCCTCTGGTAGTCCTGAAATAAGTGAGTGATGTTAACATCACCACATCAGAAGCTTTCAAAGACCTGGAACACTTTCTGTATTGTACATAAGTATAAAGTTAGTTGATCTGATTCGTCCAACAACAATAATAATAAACAAAAATGAACTTACCTCTATCTGTTCCAGTTTGATGGCAGACATGAACAAGTTCAACTGCAACTTCTCTGCAATGCCAAAGAGCAGATAGACATCACTCTCGCTTGGAAGGTTGAGCTCTGACTTTACCTTCTTGGCGTAGTTTATACCTAAGTTTGAGTTGCTACGTTGGACAAGTGATGAGTATTATTGAGTGAGTGAGTGAGTGAGTTGAATGAATAACTTACATGGATTGAGTGAATGAAACGACAAATGATGCTTTCCTTAGTAATAGCCTCATGTAATGTACAAGGTAGATTTCTCTATAGTTAAGGGGTAGGCTAAACACTTCGTTGAGCATCTGTCTGACGTAGACTGACGGTTGAGTGAAGGTGCACAATATCTTTGTCTCCTTCTCTGGCGGCCTGATTATAGTTGAGTTAGATATATTTGAACGATCATTGGAATGACATGAAGCAGCATGGTTGATGGGATACATACAGTTGTTTCTTAAATATTGCAGTTGCGACAAGAAAGTCATCGCGATAGCATGTATATTGATATTGAATCTCTGTCTGATATACTTCATTCCTGTCAGTGTCAATGACAGTGGATGGTCGCAGGGAGTAGGGTATCCTCTCCTCCAGTGTCTTTAGTGACACGTCCAGTATGCCCTGTATGATGAGATCTGGTACAAACTCGTGTGACAGCACTCTTGATGATACATTCCTCTCGTTTGGCGTCAGGAACAAGTAGAGTGTATCCAACCATTTGAGAATCACCTTATCATTGCTTCCAATTACAACTGTCGATCCACCTGTATGCATATGTGATGTGATTGCTCTGTTTACAATGTGTTAGGGAGAGATATCATCATTGATGCATTCATATCCATGTGGATACATACTTGACGATAAAGTCATACTCTGGTTGCGCTGGAGGATGTGACTCGATGAAGAATGTCTGTGATATGTCCGTCGTTGGATAGGATGAAGAGAACACTTTATCAATGTTGACACAGACCAATAGTAACTCTGGTGTAAACTTGGTTAGATCATAATTCTAGAGTTGTAGGGTATGATGTGGTTAGCATGATGGCATTCCATTCGAACGAACATTGGTACCATTGCCACTTACACTGTTGCAATAGTTTGTGAGTATGATTGACGCTAGAAGTGACATCCTGTCAGAGATAAAGTCGTGGCAATGTTGATAGATGTGTAGTTTGGTGATGTCGAGATAGATGGACAGGGCAAACTTTGTGATCTTCTCGTGGTACTTGGCATTGAAGATGATCGATGGTATCATGAATCCCTGCTCTGGGTATATGTTGAAACGCATCTCCTCTGATACGATCTTTGTGTCGAGACCGCAAAGTGTCTGTCGTGCCATGAATGCTTGGAACTCATTTGAAACACTAAGTTGTCCATCCTCATCATCGCCTGGAACTGTCCACAGCTAAGTAGTTGTTGTTGTTGTTGTTGTTGTAATAACATTGATCGATTAGTAGTTGGTTCATTCATGTATGTCACCATGCTCATCAGCATACCTGTTCAATCACTGGGCCAGCAGTATCATGCCAAACAGAGAGCTGTGCTCCACATATCACCTGTGGTTTGAATGTTGATGTCTGATCAATCAACTTGATTGGTGTCGATGTTGTCTTTGATAATGGTAGTTCTAAATGAATGAATGAATGTGTTAGAGAGTTGATGATGATGCTATAACATGTTGTTGATTGATGATTTACTCTTCTTTGATGCAGATAGATTTGGAGCAAGCAATGGTTGCATCTCTTCGTATACTCTACTAAAGATGTTGTTGTGCTTCTTGAACTCCTTGTTGTTGGCACCAGCACCACCGACCGCTTTGTTTGCTTGGTTTGGCGCAGCCAATGAAGCGGCAGAGCTGTGAAGATGCCCACTGCCATGAGACATCACCAAACTATTGCTACCATGACTGGTACTTGAGCGATGATCACCAAATGAATGATCACTCATATTACCTTAGTTATTTATGTATGTATGTACGTATGTGATATCGACACTGATGAGTGATAGATAGTAACTGTTTTGGTGTTTGACTTGGAAATGGATAGGTGGGTTTGATATTGATACTTTTGCTTAGCTTTTTCTTTCAAGTTCCAAAGTGACAACACAAAGTATTTCAACTTGATAAAGATTGGGACGGAGCAGTAATACCAATAGTTATCTTTATAAAATGCAAAGAATATTTAAAAGGTTAAGAGTAAACAATAATAACAACAATAATAACAACAATAATAACAATAACAATGTAGTTGAAGATGATCATGTTGTTGAACAAGATAATGAATCAATGACTCCTCCATCAGAAGTAACAACATCAACTACATCAACAACATCAACCACATCGAATATATCCAATAATGTTGATATTGCTGTTGTTGAGGAGATCAACCTGTCGGATGGTGTAGCAGCCACTGCAGTGTTTAGTAATGTTGTTCTGCGGAGGAAGGTATTGAGTATGCTGCCCATCTTCTCTTTGAAAAGACGTGATAAGATTGTCATCCATGGATGTGCCCAATGGAGTGGAGAGATAATGATGCTGACAAGATGCGAGAGACGATTCCCAGAAAACATAAACCGCAATTCTGCTGCCTGCTGGAGTAGAACATGTGTCAGAGACCTGGCATCTGGCTTTGTCGCTAGATTTGGCATCAGAATGGGCAAGGACCATTCGGATTCGGAGCCAGGCGCCGATGGAATGGCCTTTGTCATCCACAACGCCAAACGTGGCAACCAAACGCATGTGTACGACGACAAAGGCTCCGGCATGGGCTACTCTGGTATCGAGAACAGTATCGCCATTGAGTTTGACACGTTCAAGCTAAATGACAGCGAGCCCGATGCCAATCATATCTCGGTGCAGACCAATGGCAGGGCACCAAACTCTAGCAATCATCGCTACTCCATTGGCCACGCTAGTCCTACTTGTGTGATGAACGACTATCAACTGCACCGTGTGATCGTCACGTACAATCCTTTCAAGGAGCGCCAGCTGGTTGTCAACTTTGATGGCAGAGACCTCATCCAATGCACAGTTAATCTACAACAATTACTAAGACTGAACAACAACAATAGTGATGCCTACGTTGGATTCACTGCTGCCACTGGTTACTACTTCCAAGTTCACTCTGTGGAATACTGTGACATCTATCGTTTGAATGAATACTAATAAGAGCGTTCTAACTAGATAGAGTTGTGCAACCATCAATCCAACTATTCATTGTCAATATCTTTTGGGCACCAACCCCCATTCAATCACTCAATCACACAAGTGACCCGACCGACTGACCGACCGACAGATGTTATAATATCTTGATGGAAGTTTATGGTGTGTGGACACGGGATACTGATCGTGGGAAGTCCCTCTACCTCGTCCCACCCCATCACCTGACGCACAGCAAAGCATACACAGATTTCGGCACTTGGCCCTGCAAAGTTTGGGCGACCCAACTATTCAAAACAACGAATGTTATTATTTGTTTTTTTTGTTTCGTTCTACACCTCCGATAACGACGATGGGGTAGTGGTCCACTACCTGTCCTTCGTTTCGTTTTCATCAGTTCCTTGTGCTTTGAGAGCTCCCGCCCCACATAACCGGCCAACCCACCATCTACCCATTGATGCCCCCTCTCCGACACCACCACAACCGATTCTAATGATCAGAAAACCCGCCAACCACAACGAGAGTCCACTGTTGCAAAGTGTGAGTCGGCCGTATCTATCTCTATGTAATGTTATAACGTTATTGATAGGGGTATAGGCTATACACACTACACACCAATCACCCACACTGATTAAACGATGTGATTGATGAATATTTAAAAATAATTAATATCCAAATAGACCAAGAGATGTGTTGATATCTTCATTTGTTACTTACTGTGAGCGTGACGGAGACGTCTGGTGGTCGAGCCAACAACTATTTAAAACTCACCTAGGAGCTCATTCCAAAGTAGATCACTCATCTCCTTCCTTCCTCTGCACCTCTATCTCTATCTCTATTACAAGTATGGCTTAGACTACCACGCTTGATCATGTCTGTGAGAGATCACATTGGCCTGACACTCCTACTCTCCTCTCTCTTGCTCTCCTCTCTCCCTTTACTTCTTCTCTCTCTTCCTTCTCTCTCCTCTCTTACTCTCTCCTCTCTCTAACTTCTTGTTTCTCTTTCTGCTTCTCAAACAGATCTCTCTCTTCTTCTTCCTTTATACCTCTCTCCATCTCTTTCTTCTCTCTCTCTGCTCTGGTTTCTGCAACTGATTGCTCACGACAACCATGATTCACATATACACCTACATCTTTGCCATTGGCACTATCTTTGCCATGATTGACGCCTTCAACAACGGTGCCAGTAAGTTGATTGCTACATCATAGCCCTTGATCTTGATTTGTGAGAATGGTACAATCTCTGACACCTCTCTACTCTACTCTCTTCTCTCCCTCTCTCTTTCCTTCTATCTTTCTCTGAATCTGATTGAATAGATGATGTCGCCAACGCTTGGGCTACCTCTGTGTCGTCCCGTTCCATCTCTTACCGTCAGGCTATGGTCCTCGGTACCATCTTTGAAATGCTCGGAGCCATTACTGTCGGTGCTCGTACTGCTGAGACCATCAAGAACGGTATCATCCCCAACTCTGCCTTCCAGAACAACGCTGGTGTCCAGATGCTCGCCTTCACCTGTGCTCTCGTCGGTACCTCTGTCTGGGTGCTCTGGTGCACTCGCAAGTCTGCTCACGTCTCCTCCACCTACTCGCTCATCTCTGCTGTTGCCGGTGTCGGTATTGCCACCGTCGGTTTCGGCGGCGTCCAGTGGGGCTGGAACAACGGAAAGGGTCTTGCTGCCATCTTTGCCGGTCTCGGTATGGCTCCATTCATCTCTGGATGTTTCGCTTCCATCATCTTCTTGCTGATCAAGTTCGTCGTTCTCAAGCGTGAGAACCCAGTGCCATGGGCTGTCTACACCTCGCCATTCTTCTTCCTGATCGCCGGTACCATCTGTACCCTATCCATCGTCTACAAGGGTTCACCAAACCTCGGCCTCAACAAGAAGCCAGCCTGGTACATTGCTGCGGTCACCCTCGGAACCGGTGGTGGTCTCTTCATCCTGTCTGCCATCTTCTTCGTTCCATACCTCCACACCAAGGTCATCAAGAGAGACGCCACCATCAGATGGTACCACGCCTTCTTGGGTCCAGCCCTCTTCTGGCGCAAGACCCCAGACGTTGCTGACAAGGCCAAGGTTCCAAACTACGCTGTCGTCCAACACGAGGAGGAGGATGACGAGAAGTCAGACGTCGACTCTGTCAAGGATATGGAGACCTCTGGAAAGGACGTCGAGATGGGTGCCATCACCCCATCCCCATCCAACGATGTCAAGCTCACCAAGTCCTACGACGACCTCGTCCAAGACGGCAAGGACAGATTGAACGCCAAGCTTAGAAAGATGAGCGGTCCACTCGGCTGGGCCATGCGTACCCTCCACGAGAACCAAATGGGACCAGGTGAGATCTACGAGACCAAGAACCTCAAGATCTTCTTCAAGCGTATCCCAGCCTACATTGTCGCCGGTGCCCTCTACGGACTCCACTACGACATCCACGCTGCCCAGACCTCCGTTGCCGGTACCCCAGAGGGTAGACGTATGGAGAGAGTCTACGAGCATGCCACCAAGTACCCCAACGAGGTTGAGCACACCTACTCCTTCGTCCAGATCATTACTGCCTGCACTGCCTCCTTTGCTCACGGTGCCAACGACATTGGTAACTCTGTCGGTCCATGGGCTGTCATCTACGCCGCCTGGTCCACTGGTGATGCTGCTGCAGCCAAGGCCTCCGTCCCAATCTGGCAACTCGCTGTCCTCTCTGGCTGTATCTCGATCGGTCTGGTCACCTACGGTTACAACATTATGAAGGTCATGGGTAACAAGCTCACCTACCATTCGCCATCCCGTGGATGCTCAATGGAGCTCGGTGCTGCCATCACCATTCTCATCTTCTCCCAGTTCTCTCTCCCAGTGTCCACCTCGATGGCCATCACCGGTGCCACCGTCGGAGTCGGTCTGTGCAATGCCACCTTCAAGGCTGTCAACTGGCAGCGTGTTGGTCTCCTCTTCATGGCCTGGGTCTTCACCATCCCCATTGCCGCTGCCATCGGAGGTCTCACCATGGCTGTCATCCTCAACGCTCCACACTTTTAAATAACCAATATCGACTATAACAACATACAACAACAACACAACAACATCCTCTCCAATCATTCACACATACACCACATTATACAGCCGCGCCGAGCCTTGTACAGAAGCCGTTCAAGACAAGCGCTACTATTCACACCTGTCTACCGACATATTGGTAGACCCAAGCACACTGTGCACACTTATAACTTATATATATTCAACTCGGTTGTACTATACTTCCAAATAAATACCAATCTTATACAATAATATATAACTTTGACTACTACAATTATCTCTCTTGATTGCCACATGAAATCACTGGAAACAAATGCAATGTTCATGTCCAATGTACTTAAGGGGTTTCAACTTCACCGCAATCATTCATTACGATTCAATGTGTTTATCTCTACATGTTATACAATTATTAATATAATGTTTGGATACTTGTTGAATAAGATTAGTTCGACTCTGTCATCGAATGATACAACATCGACAACAACAACAACATCACCTCAACAAAATCAACAAACACAACAACAACAGAAACAGAAGACTACTCAATCACAAGATGTCGACGACTTGAATCAGTTCATACATTCAATGGTAGGCAATGTTATCATCTTTATGTTGAACCATTGATCTATCACTTACACATCAATCAAACAATCAACTTGATTAGAACATCAACAAGTCACAGAGTGATCTTGACTTGATGTTGGCCATTATAAATGATAGACTACAAAAGACAGATTATACAGATGCATTGAAACAGCTGAAGCAATTTGTCTTTATAACGATAGAGGCATTGAGCCATGGCGCTGCACATTCAAACACCGATAGCACCACTTACAATCAACTACAGACCTCATATCAATTGCCAACGATGAACAAGCTCGAGGATCTCTATCAGAGTGTTCGACTCAAGGCTGACGAGGCGACACGAGCCGCCAATGAGACACAACTGCTCGAGATCACTTTGATACTGTCGATCATTCAACAGACCCGCTATCTGATGCTCAATCACCGTTCACGATCATCTGGCTCAGAATCAACGCCATCGCACCATGAGCAGCAGGATGATGGCTTTCAATTGTTCACACAGTACCATGCCAAGCAGGTTCTTGCCGATATACAACCATTGATCAAAGAACTGCTGCGAACCAATGGTTTGATACAATCGAATGACTTGGCCAACAGGATAAAGGCTATGCACAACTGCTGGCAGGCACTCTATAAGATACTGATGTTGGTGGTGAACAAAACAAACAACATCAGCCATATAATCTCCAAGCAGTGGAGTTGGAACACAACCATACTTGAGAAGAATAAGAAGGTCAAGCTGAAGGAGTGGCAAGCGTCCAACATGACCATTCCACTTCACAATCAATCATCAATGTACCTAGACCAAATATTTACAATCATTCAAGATAGACTAAAGGATCAAACACTGGTAGGTAGTGACACCATCGTGTGTAGAGAGAGGAAGAGGACAACAATCAACTAAATAATCATCATTTTGCAATATAGCTCGCCAAGTATAATGATGCCAACAGTCACATGGAAGACTTGATAATGAATATGGAGACCAATCAGGAGTATATTGATTCCATTCAGTACCTATTGGGTGTTGACGAGCTGTTGGATGGTCTGAGTGCCATATCAGAGATATCATTCAAGTATTCAAACTTTATCAAGGAGAACACACCTGTAGGTATCATAACAGTTGTTGCTCCGTCCACCTCCTTCCGCTTGACTGACCATCATATTTGCTTCAGGAATCATCCAAACTTGTTGAGTTGAACCTACTCAAGAGCAGGGTACAGGACATCATGAACAACTATATATCATTGGAGACACAGTACTTCCAGTTGTCATTCTCAATGGCGTTGTACATGGATGATATTGGACAAATGCTAAAGAGTCTAAAGAATCCAAAGAATCTTAATCAAGGTCAAGGTGCTGCTGCTTCTGCGATGACCTCTGCGACAAACAAGACAACAGATCTATCGATTAGAGACATTGAAACATCGTCCAAGGTCGATGACATATTCTTTGTATTCCGCAAAGTGGTCAGTCGATCCATATCATCATTGTGTTCACCAAGTATATGTGCCACCATCAACCTTACCTCTTCAAACTTTGACTCTTTATATATACCTGTAAGTTAGTTGGTTAGTTTGGCCAGAGTCCCAGCCATCCACCATGTTATTGACATTAATCCATTGGCAATATGAATAGTATATTGAAATACTTCTCAAGCAGACATATGGAGGTGACTTTGATAAGAAGCGTGACTACTTCCTCGTTATCCTGAACGACATGTGTACGACCAACACGTACATTGCACAGATGCAGAGAGAGCTGGTCGATCTCACCAACCAAAGATTGACTACCGATGACGAGGTCAAGATGATCACCATGTGTATCAATGGAGACAGCTTAACAACACTAAGTGATCGTATGGAGACATTGCTAAAGGTATGATATATATTGTTGGTCAAAGATGGACTATATCACTAACATCAACAAACATATAATCAGGAGAATGTAGAGAAAATTGTACAGATATTATCAATACCTATCAACCAGTTGATATTCCCTATCAACCATATCCACTATGAGATCAATGATCAAGAGTACGAACGATACGAGATCAATGATCCATTCGCACAGGACTTTCTCGACTCTTTCGATGACCTACTGAGTCCATACAAGGTATGAATGAATATAGTAGACCAGACCAACCAACCAATGTTACTAACCTTTGGCATGTCAAATTTAAATAGTCTATTCTGTTAACATCAATATTCGACAAGTTGATCAACCATCTTTCAAGCCATGTGGCCGCCACTTTGGAGGACCACATCAAACAGAAGAAGTAAGAACATCTGTCTCTGTCACATGTTGTTATTGTTTGTCTTGATCATTCTAACATACAACGCTTACATTATGTAGGTTCAACTTCTTGGGAGCATTGCAGTTGTCAAAGGACATTAGAAAGATCATCGACCATTGTGTACAGCTGACGAGCGAACAGAATATCAGACACAAGTTCATAAGACTACAACAAATAGTTCAGCTGTTAACGATGGACAAGGTGACCGACATACAGGACTACACACAAGAGGGCTACCAATGGAAGCTCAGTGTACTAGACATCAAACTCTTATTAGCACGTCGCTCTGACTTCCCACTTCAAGCAGTGCATAACTTAAAGCTATGAGTTTAAAGGTATACCCTCATCCCTGCTGCAATCTTCTTCCTCATCTTATTCTTATTCTTGGCAAAAGATAGATATTCCTGTTATTATCTCGTCACTTACTGACTACTTGATCTTTTAGGTGTTCGAAAGATTAATGCGTCTGTCCTCGGAATGTCAAGTGATTGCAAGAGGTCAACCCACCTGGTGAACCAAGTGTTTCCTTTACCAAAGTGAAGCACATCGAGAAGCATCTGATGCGCAGCCCCGGAATTTAGGCCTGGGGGGTTGTGTTGATGATGTAATAGAGTGCGTTCTGCACGACCAAGCGATGGTGAGAAAAAACTTGAAATTTTCGAGTTTGTGAGAGTTGATCACCACCTGCTAATCATGGCACCAACGCGTGTTTGTGGGGTGTTTGTTCCAAAATCATTCGATGAATTATATTGCTTCTCAAAGAGTTCATCAATGCATGTGGGGTGCTGCTTTCGTGGCATAATCTATAAATATAATTTTGGTTAATGAGGGAGATAGATATAATCAAATACACACAAAGAGTTATAACAACAACAGCAACAGAGCAACACAACAACAATACACACAACATACAGGTACATTCGACATCAACAATACACTTTTTACTCATTCAAAACTCATAATTGTAAGTTCATCACACAATCATCTCTATTTTTAAATTTTTTCCAATCTATTTCCTGTAAGGCCACCCTTCTCTTTTGTTTCAAGGTTTGTGAGTGGTGGTCAACAATTACAGAAGCATCAACAACACATACACGCATGATCCACGTACACATGCCAACAACCCGCATATTGAGTCATGCTTGATCATCAGCTTGCACGTGCCTGTTCCCCCAATGCCATCCGTTCCGGACATATATTAACAACCATCCGGCCTTTTTACCATTTAGATTAGACATCTTAATTACAGAGATATATAATTCAATACAGATAATAATAATAATAATAATAATAATAATAGATAATAGATTATATATATAATTTACAAAAATGGATATTTCATTAATAATCAATGATAACAGTAACAACAGTGAAAATAGCAGTAATAGCAGCAGCAGCAGTAACAGCAGTAATGTTGTTCGCGTTAGGAAACTGGACTTTAGTAAATTAAACAAAGACAACAACACAACAACAACAACAACAACAACAACACCACTTTCACATTACACACTTGATCAATCAGTTCTATCACCACTGGATTCTCTTTCACAGATATCCTTGATTGAATATGATATTATATCTGCCAACTCCAACAACAACAACAACAACCACTCATTATCCTCAGCCTCATCCACTTTTTCACCATCATCCACAGCACACTCATTCCTCCTTTCACCACTTTCACCTCTGATGTCATCGCCCAGAGCCGCATCAGCTTTCTCCTACCCAGCATCACCACTACCATCCACATTTTCCACCTCCTCACCAAGATCATCATTTGCCTCTGGCGCTGCTGCCTCTGAATGCTACTCTCCCTGTCCAGCCTACTCCCCCAGAACACCACTGATGAGTTCTCCACCTCCTTCTCCTATAATGTTTGCTCCTTCATCTCCTATAATGTCCTCTGCCAGCAGCAGCAGTTGTAGTGCTTCCTCCACTGTGCAGGTGGTACCAAAGAAGGTGGTGCCAAAGAAGGAAGTGTTTGGCCTGAAGAAGGCACGCAAGTCCTACGAGGTCTATAAGAAGTTGGAAATTCTCGACGAGAAGGAGAAGCGTGGCATGGCCTATGTAGTCGAGACCTATGGTATCTCACGCAGCATTGTCTCAAGATGGCAGGCAAACATCGACAAATACCGCACCTTCCAGAAGAAGGGGCTCAAGAAGCTGCACAAGGGACCCAAGGCGTCGTTCTCGGAACAACAGGAGCAAGAGATCATTCGACAGATTGAATTGTACAGAGTCAACAATCCTACCGAGACAATCAATGGTGAAACGATCAAGAACATTGCCCTGCGCTTCTCTAGTCAGTTGGGCAACAACACGTTCAAGGCTTCATCAGGCTGGCTTGAGAACTTCAAGAACAGACATGGTCTGAAAGCGTAGACTCGCTTATCAACTTGTCCAACACACACAACAACTATAGACATAGTCATAATCATACAAGTATATATATTTATATAAATATACACCACGATCGCTTGGGTGTCCAGTGCTAGATAGATAATGTAGCCCATATCATCCAGTGCTCTCCCCCTCCTCGACGACGACATCCAGAGCTATCACACTCTCTTTTTTTGCCAAAGAAGAGTCTAAAGCTTCCAGCAAGCCAATCGACAGCCGACTAGTTTGTAATAAACTTTTGTATACTTTTTAACTAAAACTATCTTTACTCTATTATTCATAGTTATCTTTATTATCAACAAGAAAAAAAACATTATTTTTGATTAAATTTGATTAATGTTGATTACTTTCGTTCGTTTTTTCATCACCACTCAAAGTGCACTTACTTTCATTCAACATAACAACATTGTAATACTTTATCTTTTAGACAATACATTTATAACTACAACAATACATTTAGTGATGGACGTTAGATTCTCGATTCCAGGAGTGGTAACACGCAGATTCATTAGCGAAGCCAAGGGAAGAGGCCTGTTTGCCGAGAAGCAGTTCGAGAAGGATGAGGTTATCTTCACGGAACCACCCCTGTTTGCTGTGCAACATGTCTATAACAGACCAATTGCATGGACCTGTGGCAATTGCTTCCGCTTCCTCGGCTCACTCAACCGTCAGATTAATCACTATCGCCGCCTGTTCAACCTCAAGGACAAGACCGAGCTGGTGCCTCTGCCCGACAACACCACAGCCACACCACACGAGTTCCAGACTGCGGTGCTCAGCTGCTTTGCCAAGTGTGGTGAGAAGTACTGTTCAGAGGCATGCCGTCAGACGGCCTTCCAGAATCACCACCAGATCCTGTGCGTGGGCGAGCATACACCAGAGACCAGCGCACTCTATCAGTTTAAGAAGCACGCTATTGAGACGAACGAGTTGTTCTTCTTGGGTGCACAGGTTATTGCCTACCTTATATCTACGGTGGTGCACGCCAAGGAGGCAGCACCAGGCGAGCCACGCATCATTGACATCATCTGTCAGGAACTGTTCCGTCAGTATGCTCATCGCGTATGGTGGGAGGTTCGTGTCGATGGTAATTTCACCGAGCAAGAGGCCAAGCAATGGGCCACCGAGTCACTGGCGTTGCTTCAGAAGGCATTGGTGCCTGTTCTCACATCGCATCCCAAGACCAACGACCAGCAGTTCATCAGCACTCTGCTCAGCATGGAGTTCTACAGCCACGTTCTCGGCATGCTAGAGATGAACGATAATAGCATCCGCTTTAAATCACCACTCGAGATGTTCCGTCGCGAACTAGACGATATGTCTGCACCAGAGCAGTACAAGAAGCACTCAAACAACGTACTCAAGGGCGTGGTCGGTGCATTCAGACAGTACCACATGGAGCAAGAGGAGGACTGCGACGAGACTGACTGCAACCATCACGATCACAACCATATGAATGATGATCATAAGCATGACCATCACGACCATTCAAATTGCCATAGTCACAGTCATGGTAATGAGCACGCACATGGTCACAGTCAAGGCAAGAGCGAAGAGGAGGAAGAGGAGGAGGAAGAGGAGCAAAGAAGGAGACTGGAGCAGCACTCTGACACCAAGATGGAGGTTGATGGCAACGATGACGATGAGGAGGAAGAGGAAGAGGAGGTCTTCCCAGAGTTTGATGGATTTGGCTTGTTCGGTCTGCAGGCCATGGTCAATCACAGTTGCGAACCAAACTGTCTGGTGGCATTCGAGGGCACCAATCAAGCGTACATCAAGGCATTGAGGAGGATAGAGCCAGGCGAGGAGTTATTCCACACATACATAGATGAGAACACACCATTTGAAGAGAGAGAGCAAGAGTTGGTCACTTATGGCTTCAAGTGTGATTGTGCAAAGTGTCATCGTGAGAGACCAAAGACAACGTCATCAACATCAACATCCACCAACTCTATGTAAAGGAATGGGGCACTTGTACTATTGATCAGCATCATTGCTGTGTAGTATTATTTCCCTAAAACCAACCAACCAACCATCAAACCAACAACAACACAATTCCATTATTATGGAAACCAACACACATATTAATCAAGCGAGAGGTCATGACTTCCCGTCCGGACGGACCCATTGATGTTCATTCTGTCCTGTGGAAGGACATTTGGACGCGTCATGAACATTCATTCGTCTTCTTCTGCATGTCTCTGTTTGTTTGGACACACTGGTGGTCCAAATTAAAAGCAACTATGGAAGCGATACAATAAAGGACAGATGCCATTGACAATAATAATTGTTCATAACATCATCACGCACTTCTTGTGTGTTAGTGTGTGTGTGTGTGTGTGTGTGTGTGTTTATATGTGTGATGATACTCAATTAATGAATAGATCAAACACAGACACTCACACATCACAAAGTGAGAGATATTACGACACCTGAAATGATTATACTGATCCATATGTGGTTGGTGTCTGGTTGCCAACGAATGATATGTGATGATGTGGGCTTGGCAAGTCACACTCACACCGATGATGATGATTGTTTACGGAAACAGGACGAGTAATATTGGTCCGACCATCCAGTCCACAATCAATCAATCAATCCAGTCAATAATTCAACCAAACCATTCCAGTACTTTATACCATCCACATATTTATGTGTTTATAATAGTTATTCAACCTACCGACAAACAATAATAATAATAATACATCCCTAACTTTAAAGTTTAGTTTATTAACTTTCCATTACATCATGATTAAATCATCTCTAATACTACTAGTAGTATTTTCAATAGTAATAGTCCGATCACAAGAAGCATTGTCAGGATGTGGAGTAAGTTCAAACATTCACTCTCAAACAACGTAACAACTTACTAACATTATGAATCTCTAGGTTGGATCCGCGATATACAATGATGCCTATGCCAATTGGTCCGATGGACAAGGAGCATGCACCTTGCCAACACCATCTGAGATTGGTGTTGCAGGTTTGAACAAGTTCTATATGAATGCTCAATCAGGCTCTGGAATGTGTGGAACTTGTTTCAATCTGACTGGTCCATCAGGTTCCACATTGGTCAAGGTTGTGGACAGCTGCAATTCAGTGGCACTGTGCACACAGACCACTCATGCGCACTTTATCATCTCGCCAAAGGATTTCCAAAAGATCAATGGTGCGTCCCTATCAACCATGTACAATGTTGGCTACCAAATGGTTGCCTGTCCATTGTTTGATGACTTCAAGGTCACCATGATCCCAGCCGACACTGGCTCCTATCAGTACTACTTTAGTGCTGGTCTGTCTGGTTACTCTCTGCCTATAAAGTCAGTTGAGGTCACTGTTGCCGGTGTCTACACCAAGATGAAGTATCAAGGTGGTCTCTGGGTTTGGAACAAGGCTGCAACTGCTTTCAGCTTCCCATCAAAGATGAGAATCACATCGCAGACCAATGAGCAAGCCATTGTATCTTTGGATGACCCACCCACTGCTCCTCTTGTAGTACCAGCCTTTGTCCAAGATGCTCTCGAAGCTCCATGTGGTGCACCAGCCGCATCACCAGCCATCTATGATAATGCTTTGGCTCAAGGATGGTTTGATGCCAGCTGGCACTCAAGTGAGAAGACCTATACGGATACATCAGTGACCACTGGTACCAACATTGCCATTGGATTGGAGCCCTTGGGAGGACTCAAGATGTCCAGCCTCAACCCAGTACCAACAGGAAATATCATTGCTCTACAGTTTGATGCCATGTCAAACGTTAGCAACGCAGTGTTTGCCCTTTCATTGAACAGTGACAAGAACCTCAGTATCGCAATCGACACCAAGTTTGAGACTTACAATGTCAGTATGGTCGAACTTGGAGCTCACGCGACCGAATCAGCAGTGGTCTTCCAGAACATCCAAGGCACCGGAGTAATGTTGAAGGTGGCCAATGTTCATTGGGTATTCGATGATACCGTTGGAGAGCCACCAAAGGGAATTGTCACGCTACCACCTCTTCCATCACCCAATGAAGGAGGTCCTCGTCCACACTCACCATCGACAGGAACATCAACTGGAGCCAGTGTGACATCTGGTGGCACCACCGATGGATCAGACGATCTGTCCTCGCCAAGCCGCGGAGGATCAAAGATACCACCACCAAGGACTCAAGTAGGTGCCCATGACGATAGTACCTCATCTAATCACTCAAGTGGCTGGAGAACATCAGTTGTTCCAGGCTTCTATGCTGTCATCCTATTATTATCGGCAGTTCTTTTGTTGTAGAGGACACACTATACCACTACCTACTACCACTACTACTACTTCACACACACTTTGTTTCTAAACAGTACTCCGCCACTACTACTATAACTACTCTATTTAAACAACCACAACAACAACAACAATAATAAAGTGATCGAAAGTGACATCTATCTATATTCAAACAAAATGATTCTAATCGTTTGTAGTCTATCAGACACGTGGGTTGGAAGTGGAGAATGAATCAACTGGTGTGGGAAGTGTGTGAGTGAGGGTGTTGCGGAAGGTGGGTTGATGATGTATTGTCTTGTTCAACAACAACTCAGCCGTCCAATAGAATGATGTTGATGATGATGTAATAAGAATTAAGTGAATCATTCTACGTAGATACAGATAGATGAGAATGACGATACTTATTGATGATGATGATGATGCTCCTCTTGTGATCCATTATATATTTATTTATATTTATATATAAAATTGATAGAGATACAGTGTGTGTCGTGCAATGTGATAGGAGGTATTAGTAATCTAGATGTTACAACCTACCTATCTACCCCACCAAATCAATCAATCAGTCAACAACCTTAGACCTCAATCATTCATACATACTAATAGTCCTACTTCTTTTGACTGAGTAGTGGTAGTGCCCGGAGCATGGTGTAGTTGGTGAGAATCAGACTGGTTTGCCAGTGTCCAAAGTGTCGTTCCATATGATCACCATCAACTACCCAGTAAGTTAGTTAGTTAGTACTTCATACTTTGTTATATTTAGAACATTTATTTAGTTATATATTTAGTATTTATTATTTATTTATTTATTTATTTATTTTATCCAAAAATGTTCAAACCAACATTGTTGCTCATTATTTTAGTTCAGCTGATCTTGTTTTCCACGTTCTCAATAAAAGAGGTACAGAGTGAACCTGTAGCATTGGGTGCCTGTGGTGTAAGTATAATAAGATTCCTCCTTTGATATTTATTAACAAACTTTACAATTCTATATATAGTCAGGATCAGCAACACCAACATTACAGTTACCAAAGGGACAATGTGGACTACCATTACCAAGTGGATTCAGTCCAGCATCAGTTAGCATGGGATTCTTCTCGAATGGAACTAGATGTGGAGAGTGCTACAGAGTGATAGGACCAAGATCATCAATTGTTGTAATGATCATCGATGTCTGCAATCAAGGTGCCGCATGCTACCAGAATGATCGAGCACACTTCATCCTGTTGAACAACGATTTCTACAAGATAGCATCGACCAATGAATCGGCAGAGATTTACTCACTTGGCTACCAACAAGTGAGCTGTGAGCATCCTGGTAACATCAATATATCGTTTGCCGGTGGTGGCGAGGGATACACTGACTTTGCCTACTACTTCCGAGTGATGTTGTCTTTCTACACGGTGGGCATCAAGACGGTCCAGGTGCAAGGCACTGGTATGGCTGGCTTCCAGGTGATGAAGTATGAAAATGGTGGATTCACTTGGAACAAGTTGGACGAGTCTACCAAGTTCATCTTCCCAGGCACACTGCTGATCACTGCTCAGGACAATGAGGCCGTCACCTATACGTTCAACAATGTAACTCCATACACAGAGTATGACACGCACAAACAGTTTACACCGAGTGCACAGGTATCCAATCAGACAGATTGCGAGATGGGCATGGTCCAGCAGTACATCTATGACGACCATGTGCTCTATGGGTGGGAGTCATTCAACAGCTTCAACTTCTCGCAGTACACAGTGTTTGACACACAGAGTCCCTTTAGTGGTGAGTCCGACATCAAGATGGATCTGAATCCGCATGGAGGATTGACATTCAGTCGAGATGGTGGCTTTACAACGCGCTACCTAAAGACGATATCGTTCGCAGCTAAAGCATCACAGGCAGCGTCATTACGAGTGTTCTTTGGATCGTTCGGTGCATTCGTACTGCCCTCTAAGCTGACGACCAACTGGCAGAAGTTCTACGTACCGATTGGTAGTCTTGAGCCACGGCCAATAGAGTATATGATCAGCTTCTACAACAACCAGGACAAGGGACTGACATTCTACTTTGATGACTTCCAGTGGGAGTTCACTGATGACGTACCGTTGATACCACCGGTCAACTTGGGCACCACGACATTCAATCCAACCACGACGGATGAGCCAGTGGACAGTCACGAGCTGCCTACTACACTCAACTCACTGTTCCCAACAACAGGCGGTGACTCAACCACATGGGGAACAGGTAGTGTTTCAGAGGCATCGGCCAGCAGTGACATATTGGTCGGTACAACCACCAAAGGAACGATCACAAGGAAGTATCCTGTCACTGGTCCATCAAGTGATTCAGTCAGAATCAATGTCTCCTTCCACACTATATTATTATTATTATTATTACTACTGATATCATCGATACTGATCTAGTCTGTAAATAAATACAATTTATTATTATTATTATCTGTATGTTTTGAGAGCTAATCGAATGTGAATTATTATTCAAAGTTTACAATGATATCATTGATGAATACAGATACACACAACATAACATGTCAGAGGATACATCGTCAACATCAACAACATCTTCAACTGAACCAACAACAACAACAACCAAAACCAAAGATGTAATGTTGATGCCTCCTCCTTCATTACTCCCTCCAACCAAACAACAGCAACATCAACAGAATCCTTTGATGCCACCGCCACCACTGCCTCAACCAGCTCAACAACAACATACAAAGCCTCAACCAGCTCAACAACAACAACAACAACAACCACAAGTAGAACTAAACTATAAAGAACCAGATTGGAGTTGTGCACCTGATTCAAACGATGAATACAGTCTAGAGGTGATCAAGAATGGTACAGTCTGTGAGAACATCCCAATCAACACCAAGAACTTCTATCTCATTGGTCGATTGCCAATATGCGACATTGTAACTGATCATCCAAGTATCAGTCGACAGCATGCTGTCGTACAACACAAAGAGTCTGGACAGGTACTCCTCTATGACCTTTCAAGCACACATGGTACATTCATCAACAAGAGACGTTGTCCACCAAATACCTATTGTCCCCTGCGCAGTGGAGACGTTCTCAAGTTTGGCGAATCCACAAGACTCTATGTATTCAGCGGCGGTGCAGTTCCAGAGACTGATGATAGATTGGCATCGAATGAGCCTGTCAGTGACAAGGAGCCGGCATCAGTGTCCTCATCCTTCATTCAGTACTTCACTGCGGCAAGATCCACAGAGGACAGTATCAAGATTCAGCAAATGATCAGAGAGTCACGAGGAAGTGGGTGGGGCACCGACGACAAGTTCGATGCTCATGATATTGATGACCACGAGGATACCAACGAGACTGGAGACTCAGAAAAGAGTCAGATACAGGTGGAGCAGGATCATCATGACGACGATCAAGACGAGTTCTACAATAGGACTGAACAGTTTAAGGAGGCAAAGTGGCTGAAGGATCTGATGCAAGACAGCTACCAAGAGTTAATGAATAAGAAGGAGATGTATATTGCGGATCGAGAGGAGTTGCAACTGCGATTCAAAAAGTCGGCCGAAGGTGACAGTAAAGCCAACGACGATGATCAAGACTCTCTGGAGCAGTTTATGAAACAGAATGATCAACAACTAAAGAAGAATATACAACAGGAGATCATGAGCCAGATGATGGGTGTGAGCAAGAGGATATCAATCATTGAACAGCAACTTCAACAACGACCAGAGTACAAAAAACATCAACAGCAACAAAAGTTGATGGAACGACAGAAACAATTGGAGCAACGAGAGGAACGACTGTTGCAGCAGCATCAACAGCAGCAACAACAGGAGCAAGACCAGTCACAACATACAAAATCACAGAATGAGGGAAGAACTTTGGAGGTTCATCCCAAGCCAGCAGCAGCAATGGCGTCAAAGAATATATTTAGACCAGACGTTAATGATGAAGATAACAAGAAACCAAAGTCCATTATACCACTCTCTGATGATATACCAGAGGAGTACCAGATAAAGACAAAGAAGAGACCACAAACTCAACCAGAGGACCCACTGGAAAAGGCAAAAAAGCTTAGAGAGACCCTGCAATCTAAACAAGAGTCAGAGTTTGTCGACTTGATCGAGAGTAAGTCAACAACCAACACGTACATATTTCCAGAGTTTTTCTAACCAACATCATCAATCATTCATTAACCTGTAGGAGAAAGTCAGATGAGCAATGGTAGTGCAAATAAATATGGATATTGAATACACATAGTCCAAAGAGCTTGGTTTACTTGGTTGAAGGACGAAGCGATTCGTTCAAACAGAGGAACAGTAATGATGTCTTTTCTGCTGTACTCTTGATGATAGAGTCCATACTAAAGTTATGAGCGCTTTGGTCTGGAGGAATGTTAGTAAAAGTGGACTAGCAAAGTAATCAACTACTAGTTGAACCTACCTCCCGGTCTCTTCTTCATAGACAGTATATGCTTCTTGTTCGATGCTGAAAGGCGTTGCGTATTCTCATTGGCAAATGGTGCCAGCACTCGTTCGATGAACTGTACATCCAATAAATACTGTAGCTGCCCATTGGATGAGATAAATGTTGCGTCCAACTTGAGGAAGTTATAGTGGAATGCAGTTAAAAGGAACTCGAGTATCCTCATGATGATGCCACTGGTGACCTCCAGCGAGTTGATGGTCTGCATCACTTCGCTGTGAATAAAGACGATCTTGGTGAGAATGATAATGACGTATGAGCTGACCTTGGTTGGTGCACTCTGGTTCTGCCAATTGATACCAGAGTAGAGCATTCCGTTCGACACGAGCTCACCAAGCTCTATATTCTTCTCCTGGAGGTATTGTTCAAAGATCATCTTCTCCAAGACGCCAAGTTTTTCAATCACTCTCTGTTTGATTGAATGATCAGTTAGAGAGATGTTCATTGAAAGGTTCATCGTTACATTTGGGACTTACCTTGATCCTCTTGGAGCATGGGTGGTGGAATAATGATACATAGTAGTCGCGAAGTTGTATGGCTGTCTTGGAAACTACCGTTGAACAGTTGGAGAGACAAAGCAATATCTTCTTGGATGATGTTATCTGTTCCTGCTTGGGGGCATCCTCATCTCGATTGTTGTTGTTGTCGATGTTGTTGGTGTTACTCTCGTCAATGTCGACCAAAGGTTTTGGAGTCTCTTGTTCGAATGCCAATCGATGCAGACAATCACCAAAGCTCTCAATCGCCTCACAAAGAGCCTTTTCGATATGTTTCAATAGGGACTGAGGAAATGGTAGCATTTTTTGTTAGTGTTTGGTCAATGTCCCAGTTGGGGGTATTTGGATACCTACGGGATTGGTCGCCAGAACCGATAGCTTGACGAGACTGGATCTGATTGTGTCAAAGAATTCGGTCAAAAGACGGGTGGTGATCATTCCGTCCACTTGATTTGACAGGACAACGCTTTGGGCATTGTCGTTGGTGCTCCAATCCTCCAATAGATAGAGGAATGACACCTCGCCAATCATCTCTGAGCATATCCTGTTGACAAAGTGCATAGTCAACGAGTCCACCAACTGTTTGATTGATTGGAGATAGATGTCTGGCATTCCGAGTCCGACCAGCATCTCAAGGCATTTGATAACCTCATTGACGTTCTCCACCATGTTGGAGGTCTGGTCGCCGCCCACTGCTAGATCGTCGTCATCATTGAAGAAAAGGTCCTCCACCTTTGTCGAGTAGAGTTGAAGAAGTTCAATGACCAGCTTCTTAAAGTGCTCCTCATTCTAAATATCAAGTAAGTTAATGGTTAGGACTGGGCTGGACTGAAAGAATGAGGCATGTTGACTCCACTATTACCATTGCTGATGTGGCAGCAGAGAACTGCTTGCGATGGGACCTGAATGAGCTGTTCAAATCCTTCTGAACGACATGGATACCTTGTGAGTTTTTCTGTACAGAAGCAGGTAATATATATATAAATGGTAAGTTACTAGACTTGATTCAAATGAACTAGTACACTTACAGAAAACTCCTCGTTTCTCTTCTTGAACAAGAACTTGTGACGCTTGTCCACCCACTTCTTGTGTAGTTTGTAGGGTGAACCATCAGACTCGAGCTCCACCAACTTGATCAATGTGATGCCATCACCCTTGCTCTTCTTCTCGGACAGTTTGTACATGCTGTATTCGCTCTCTGAGTCGACGAAACGCTTCATGCACATAGCTATCAGGTCCTTGACCCTAGTGTCAGCAGTGATATTGTAGCTGGAGAAAGTTTCGTCAAGATAGTGCACCACGACAATGATGCTCTTGGCCTCCTTGGCCTTTGCCTTTGGTAGGAGCTGTGCAGCTGCGTTTGACTTTGTAGAGGAGATCTCAGAGTCCTTGATGTCGAAACGACCCTCAACATAGGCGCGACCCATCTTGTACTGGTTGGGAATGTTTGACAACAACAATATGGAAAGTCTCTTGATCCTCTTGTGATTGGGCAGTGATGCTAGGAGTAGGTAGTAATAGTATGTTAGTAATATTGCATTGGGCCACCAGGTTGAATGAGTAAAATGACAGACTTACAATCATCATAACATTGCTTGATAAGAGTTGTGATTGCCTTGTGCTTGTTTGATAGACAGTACCAACAGGGATCACCAACGTTCTGCCATTCGCCCTTGCCATTGCCAATCTCCATCAGTGTTCGAATGGCCTTCTTCAGATAGTCTGGCTTGGACTGGGGGTCGCGCAGTGAAGCATAAAGCTGTCCTCTAAAGTCTTCAATGATACGCTCAATGTCCAGCAACACCTTCTGAAAGACCTTCTTGTTGTTGGTGACGATCAAACTCTTGGCATTCTTGTAGTTGTGAATGATCTTGTCAAACTCTCCCTGTTTGATGTTCTCGATAATCTTACCAGGGAGCTTGAAGATGAACTTATACTTGTGCAACAAAGCCAGTACCTTGCGAATGTGATCTGCTTCTTGTTTACCCTGTAGCAGTGGGTTGTATACAATCGACGACTTGTCAATGATTCCTTTGATTGTTTGTTTGTTAGTTAGAGGACACAATGTAAGTGTGATAAGGTGCTATTATTCCACTTACCTGTGAAGGATGTAGTGATATCTTGAAGCATTGCACTACCAGTGATTAGGTTGTAGACGAGATCTACAGTGTCTTTGCACTTGACAAAGTGCTCAAAGTTGTCCTTGACCAAACTCTTGATCTCTAGGTCCTTTGAAGTTGAGGCCTCTTTAAGCTTACTCAATCCAACAGAGAGTTCAGTGAACTTGGTCTGAGAGTGTACCTCTGAGAGGAAGATGACAGGGTCAAACTGCTCAGACTCGAGTGATATCAGATGACTCTTGACACCGTGTGATTTGCGTGGTGGTATCCTTAGTATGCCCAGTGGATCCTTGAATGCGTTGTCTTCGATGACCAATGTGGTGGCCACAGGGGGAGCTGCTGATCCTCCGGTCTGAGTCTGAGCAACAGTGCCACCTGGTAGCAGTGTGGTGGTGGTGTTGGAAGGTGGTACGAAGAAGGCATTCTCGTCGACCAAGAACTCTTGCCAACCATCATCCTTTAGCTTATTCCATGATGTTGGCTCTGTATCATCCTCTGTATCTGAGTAGTCTATATAAATTGTATGTTGGCAGTGATGGTGTCAGAGAGATCTAGATCATCAGTCGTGTCCATATAGTCTTTGAATTTCTTGTCCCTACCATCGTAATCATCAGACTCTGAACCTGAATGTGATGACATTCTATCGCTTATATCTATATGTGTGTGTGTGTGTGTGTGTGTTTAGTGTATGTGTGCTTTGATAAGTGATAGGCACAATCATTCTGTGTGTTCATCACTTACTTCTCTTGAATCAATTTTCTGAAGTTCAAATTGTATGATTGGGACAATGGGGTTGGTTTGACTCAAGAGTGTCAACCATTATTTCTACCTCTAAGATACTATTAATAATAATAACCAACTCAGAACTATACCTATAACCTCTTCTAAAGAGAAAATGAATAATTTATTATTATTATGTATTTTATTGTCATTACATGAACTTGTTCAATGCTCCAACTTTTGTTCAATCCATGGAAAGACATCTAATGATTTGAACGACCTTTATATGATAGTAGATAATGATCAAGTCAAGTCAATTCAATATCCATCGTTCATTCTTACCAAAGTTCATTTCCTTAATCAATCATCACCAACTTCTTCTTTGGTAAGATTTCATTATAAACTACATTATAGTTAATATTAACATGTTAAGAGGTACAATCAATAAAATAGATACATAGTAAACCCTCAACAATATGTGAACCATATCTAGATAATTACACGAATAGCTTTGTACCTCAATTTAGACGACATGAATCTGTGTTTTATAACTTTAGTTGTAGAATAATAGACCCTGGTTATATTGATAAACTTTTCATTGATCCAGTGACCATCACTACCAATCAAGATCAGTTGTTCAGAGAGTGTTCATGTTCCACTGGAGATCAACAAGATGGTAAACATATCATTGGTATCAAGGTGAAAATCATTGGTTATGCTGATAAGTTCATTTACATGTAAGTATAACAACAACAGTAGATTTATCTTCCAAGTTTTAAATGATTAACATTATTATTATTATTATTATTAGAAATGAAATGTCTTATCATTATAACTTTGGACAATGTAGGATGACAACATTATATGGAGATGAACCACTGTCTGTCAACGATACATTCATTCAGATATTAGAGTTGGTGCAACCGAATGATAATATGATAGAGTGGATATTTGGAGGAGTTTCAATCTTACTAGGACTATTGATTGTTCTCTTATGTATATTCTATCTATGCAAGAATCATTCTCTTCTCAGACGTCAACATGGATACATTGAGATTCCTGAACGACGATGATGCTGAACAACAACACCCCCTACCCTATCAACTTCACCATTTTCATTTCAATCAATAGTCCAAAGCAATAAATACTTAACAATAACAGATTGTTTATTACAATATACAGATGTCACATTCAACAGAAGATAACGAAGATATACCTCAGTTCACTTGTCCTGATTGGTAAGCTATACCTCTTAAACTGCTTGATGATAATGTTTTGATTGGGTACCTATAGCTTACACCTTTAACCTGTTCAAAAGGGCATCAATACCAGCGTACACAGCTTATCTACAGGTGACAAAGAATGGCGAGGATATCGGACGATTTGACTTCAATGTCCGTTATCTAGTCTTTGGTAGAAGTAATGAGTTCTCTCAGGTCTTACTCGATCATCCATCAGTCTCTAGACGCCACGCTGCTCTTGTCTATCATGGCGCCAACGACAGGTTCTATCTCATTGATCTACAGTCAGGTAGGTACATGAACATCATCACTTGTAACAACACACTACCTACCTACTTACTTACAACACTTATAAAAACAAAGGCAAAGGTACCTTCCTCAATGGTGAGAGATTACAACCAAATCAACCAAAGTCTGTCAAGGATGGCAATGTCTTTACGTTTGGATCTTCAACTAGAGAGTTTGTTCTGAGAACTGCTGCTGATGGCGGTAATCAACAACATCAACAACAACCACAGCAACAACGACAAGATAAAACAAGAACAGTCTCATGTAGACATCTACTAGTTAAGCACCGTGAATCAAGGAACCCAAAGTCGTGGCGAGAGGACAACATCACACGCACAAAGGAGGCAGCAATCCAACAGCTGAATGAGTACCGCCAGCAAATCCAGTCTGGTCAGGCCAAGTTTGAAGACTTGGCCAAGGTGTATTCTGATTGCAGCAGTGCTAAACGCGGTGGAATGCTTGATCCATTCACCAGAGGTCAGATGCAGAAACCATTTGAAGATGTATCGTAAGTAATCAAGCTCAATGACTGTTATAAAATGGAAACTAACATATATTGTTATTCAACAGCTTTGGACTAGAGGTTGGACAACTTAGTGACATTGTAAGCACAGATTCTGGTGTGCACATCATTGAAAGAATGGCCTAGAGTCATTGTTATTATTATAATAGTTGTCTTTATTATTGTCTTTCAAGTGATCCAATCACACACACACAGGTATTGGATAGGAGTCCCTGACGCCAGACGTCAGCCGTTGGGTCTCCAAATTACATCTCTTCGTCGGCACCACCACCACCGCAGCCAAGTTCATCAGTCTCGATGTCATTGTAGTCTCGCTCGAGATACATCAACTGTTCGCGAGCCTCGGTGAACTCCATTTCCTCCATTCCTTCTCCAACGAACCAGTGAACAAAGGCACGCTTATTATAGAGCAGGTCGAACTTGTCGTTGATCCTCTTGAACACCTGAGTGACGGCGGTCGTGTTTGCAACCATGCACACAGCATTCTCCACCTTGGCAAGATCTCCTTGTGGGACGCATGTGGGTGGTACGCTGTTGATGCCGCACTTAAATCCACAGGGTGACCAATCCACAAAGGACAGAGTCTTCTTGTTCCTCACCTCGGTAATAGACTGCTGGGCCTCTTTGGGTGTCACATTGCCACGGTACATGAGACAGCACGCCATGTACTTGCCCTTGTTTGGATCACACACGGCCATTAGGTTGGATGGCTCGAATACAGCACGAGTTAGAGAGCTGGCGTTGAACAAAGTATGGTTGGCGTTCTCCCTAGAGATCATCGGGGCATAGGAGCAGAGCATAAAGTGGATCTTGGGGAAGGGCACCAGGTTGACTTGGAACTCGTTGAGATCAACGTTGAGTGAACCGTCAAAGCGCAACGAAGAGGTCAGGGATGAGATGACCTGCGCGACCAGTCTGTTTAGGTTGGTGTAGGATGGAACTTCAATACCCAAGTTGCGCTTACAGACGTCGTAGATGGCCTCGTTGTCCAATACAAAGGCACAATCAGTGCCCTCGATCAGATGACTGGTTGCGAGCACAGAGTTGTAAGGTTCTACTACTGAGGTGGACACTTTGGGAGACGGGTAGATGCTAAAGTCCAGCTTGGTCTTCTTGCCGTACTCATTGTTGAGCCTCTCGAGCAACATTGCTCCCAAACCAGAGCCAGTGCCACCGCCAACTGAATGGAAAATCATAAAGCCTTGGAGACTGTCACAGTCGTCCGATAGCTTACGAATGATCTCAACACTTTGATCAATGTACTCGCGTCCAACAGTGAAGTAACCTCGAGCAAAGTTGTTGGCGGCATCCTCCTTGCCAGTGATGAGCTGGTCGGGGTGGTAGAGCTTGCCGTAGGGGCCTGATCTCACCTGATCCACAACAGTTGGTTCCAAATCAATAAAGACTGTCCTGGGTACTAATTTGTTCTTGCAGGATGATTCTTGGAAGAAGGTAGAGTAGGAACCCTTGGTTTGGCCTCGTTGTTGTTGTTGTTGCGTTTGATAACCATTGACAAAGCCATCATTGTCAATGCCATGCTCAAGACAGTAGAGCTCCCAACATGCATTGCCAACTTGGGCACCAGCCTGACCGACGTGGATAGAGATGATTTCACGAGATGGCATAGATGATTTAAACAATAATAATAATTAAAACAATATATCAAGAAGATGTATGATGAATCAAGCTTGATAAGAATTAAAGTTGTTGTTGGTGTTAAGGTGTAGATATATACAAAGGTGTAATCAAGACGTTTTGTTAGGGAACAGTCTTGGTACTTGATAGAAATATATAAAATTATAAGTATATCGAGAGACAAGATGGATTGATTGTTGTTGAACTTAACACTTCTAGTGTGTAACTAGATTCAAAAATAATTATTTTTGACCACGTCAGACAATTTAAGGTGGCAATTAATAAATTGGCGCCAAAATAAATCAGCCAGACCTATTTGATTTCTCTTCCGTTACTCTGGTGGTATTTTTATTCGAGGTACAATAGGACTAATGGCTGGTCCATCATCAGTCTAAGAGAGTTGACAATGGGGATTTAAAGTATTCCATTATCGCTAAGCTCCGATATAATAGTAAAAATAAGTACGGTGATCACACCAAACAGTGCACTTGTGTCTCTTTTTGTAGTTATTGTCTAGAGATCGTTTTGTAAGACCAAAAAAAAAATCAGAAAAAAAAGAAAAGGTTCTGGACTAGAAGGGTATCGATCCCTTTACCTCTCGCATGCTAAGCGAGCGCTCTACCATCTGAGCTACAAGCCCTTGAAATCGTGAATAAGTTTTTCAACGCTTTTATTCGTTCTAAAATTCGCTGATTAAACCAGTTAGGCTAAAAAAATACGCTAATACCAAAATACACACTTAGTGTAACTAATTACACTAAGTCTTATATATTATTATTATTATTATTATTATTTTGACAAAAGTTGTCCTCAAAGTGCAAATAACCCAATGCATTCTAGTAGAACTTTTACAAAACTTAGCAAAGTGTGGATCTAAATCATTGTCCTTGCATCGACTTTAACAATTCAACAGATAGAAATAATGTTAGTAAACGATTATGCACTGCTTGACGACGACACCTTGTCCAAGTACAAGAGTGTTGTAAAGTCAAGGGTATTCAAATACTACATACTTGTGCGTTACATCATTTACGAAGTCTTATGGCTGGCACTTGTACTACCAAGAGCAATTAGATCCGCATGGTACTACTACTTTCAGCATCGATTCTCCAATACAAAACTACACAAAGACATTAGATATTCAACAAAGCGAACCAGGAATACTTTTGACATCTATGAGCCCATCAGGAGGGCCGACGGTAACCCATGCATTATCTTTATTCATGGAGGATCGTGGCAGTTTGGAGGTACGTACATATATTTGGCGTGTTACTCAGTACACTGTTACTTTTGTGTGGATCATGGCAAATGCTAACACTCGTACTACAACAACAAAAATGTCTTTCCAGACAAGATTCAATACGTGTTGCTTGGCAAGAAGCTTTCGAGCCATGGCGTTATTACTGTCATTGCAAACTACACACTCTATCCAAAGGGCAAATTGAATGAGCAGCTCGAGGACGTCGAATCACTCACAAACTACGTCCATGATCACATTGGCAGCTACGGTGGACGCCAAGACGACATCCATCTAATGGGCCATAGTGCAGGTTCACATATAATTGCCCAGTACGTTCTCACAAAGAAGGACAGTGACAAGGCCCACATCCGTTCACTCATTGGAATGGGTGGAGTGTACGACATCAACATGCACTTTGTTCACGAAGCCACCAGAGGCCTTGAGCACCTCAGTGCAATGCGTCCCAATTGTTACGGTCCCGCTGGCTTCAAACAAAGTTCACCAACACATGTAATCTCAAATAGGAGGCAAGAACAACCTCTTCCCCATATTTATCTGATGCACGGCGTTGCAGACTTGACGGTTCCATCAACGTCCAGCAATATATTCTACAAGATGTTGACCATGAACAATGTGGATAAGCAACGACTGGCATTGTTGCTATACGAGAGTACTGGTCACATCGATTTGGTCTACAAGATAATGGACGATGATGTGTGTTATGACCACAAGTTGACCGGACTGGAAACTGGACCATGCACGAGGTATCCCTCATCGATCCTACACGATGTCCTACAGTTGATCAGGAGAGGAGATCAACAACAGTCTTGAATTAAACCTCACGAGTCGAGGTGAGGCAATAGATAGTATTGGTAGTACGTAGTCATATGACTTTATGGAAGTCTCTTCTTTACAAAGGCAGTCATATCGATGATCTCTTGTTCGCTAGAGGAATGGCCCATGAATGGGTAGGTAATGAACTCGCCGTTGACTCCAACCTCAGTCTGTAGTGTCTCGAATGACAACTGTCCCCAACTATAACGTACGACCTGGTCCTCTTCGCCGTGGAACATTATGAGTGGTTGCTGCTTGTTGACTATGTTTGGACCAAGTGAAGAGAATGAAGCCCTCAGTGGTAGATAGCCACTTAGTGCCATACATCCAGCCATCTTGTGTTGTGAATGATAGAACGTGTAAAGAGAGAGTGCTGCACCCTGTGAGAAGCCTCCCAGGATTATTCTTTCTGATGGGATACCTGCATCAACCTCACTCTTGATGATTTCCTCAACTATGTATATATGTCAGTTTTGTGTAGATCTACGTCCTGTACAGCCATCAAAACCTTACTTATTGCCCTTGATTTCTCAACGTCATCCTTGTCTTCAGTTCCTCGTTCTGAAAGAGTCTTGATATCGTACCATGAGTTCATGCGATAACCACCGTTGATTGTCACTGGCTGGATAGGAGCATTTGGAAGGATGAACTTGATATGTTGGTTATGCTCACCTATCATCTCCATGACATCAGCCCATCCATGTCCTGTATCACCCAAACCATGACAGAAGATCACTATGAATGATAGTACTTGATTAGTATTGTTCAACGTTGAAATGATACCATTTGTGAGATCTCACAACCTACCTGTTGCTGTATGTTGGCTTATAGCTTTGTTTATAACAGAGTTACGTAGTATACTTTGAATTATACTCATGTCTTTGTTTTATTATTATAATATATGTATGGTTAATTCAAAATAAACTGCAGTCAATACTTCTTCAAAGCATTTATTCTACAATTGTTCAATCTCTTGAGAATACAAACTCAAATTGATCATTCTCTTGGTTATCTGTCGTCTCTGTGGTTGAATCGCCATAAGGATTGAAAGAGGTCTTGTGATCATCTTCGTCGTCAAAGAATTGATTCCAGACTGCCTTTGATTTGGTTGATGGTGTCAATGTCGTCTCATTATTGTGAGAAGCAGAACTACTTGAATCCTTTGTTGTGGTTGTTGCTGATATCCTTTGAGAGAATACGGTACTGTTGTTTGAAACCTTTAAGTAAGGGTCTACACTATTGATTGGTAGTTGGTTGATTTGTCCTTTGGAGTGTGATTTAACACCCTTTGAGTCCAACAAAGAGGAAGATTGAGATGATGACAATAATGATGACGATAATGATGATGATGATGCTTTGGAAGATAGAGAGTCCATCTTGTTCTGATTGGTTGGTTTGAGTTGTAGATCCAACATTGGTTTGTTGTTGGCTGTGAGGTTGGGAGACTGGTTGGATTGAAAGGCCAAGGAGGATGGTGCTGTAGATAGACTTGAGGATTGTGAGGGTTGTTGTGATGTCTTTCCAGTGTTTCTATTGGCAACAGTGCTTCCGCATTTGCTTGTGGTAATCTGCTGATCATTATGTTGTCTTGATTTCTTTAGAGTGTCCTCCCTATCTCCCACAGACTTTCCGCCCCTTCCTCTACTACTATAAGTTCTTGCACGCTTCTTTTGATTGCCAAGAGTGCTTATGTCTGTTGTCACCTCGATGTTGTCGTTGTTGTGTGTCTAAAAAAATGGGTATGAGATTGCTGCCTATACTATTGTCTTCAATGACAATGAACTCAAGAGAGAACTTACAGACTCATTGTAATACTTGTTTATCAGGTCATTCTCTTCATCTTGATCATTATCATCAAAGTATTGTTTCCAATCACTTGTTGATTGCTGTAATGGTTGCTGAATCATATTCTGTTGATTGGTGTCATCATCAAAGGTGAATTCGTGCCCCTCCTCCTCCTCATCATTAGCCGATCGCTCTCGTTTCTGACCTTGCTCAAGGTTGTACTTCTTGACAAGATCTCTCAAATCCTTGGCTTGATAACTGATGCCATATATTCTCATGATGCTCTGCTTCTCGTGGCAGATGACACAAGTGAATGAATTGACTTTGGTCTTTTGTTTCACTTGGAACATTGAACAGCTGTAACATTGAATCAATATATATTCCAATGCCATTGTTTGTCAAGTATGTTGAGTGTATCTTTTACTGCTTACATTGTTAATAAAAGAGTCATTCTTCTTTTTATTGTTGCCTAACCCTTGATTGAAATTTTTAACAATAATCAAATATTTTAAAATATTAAATATTACTGGATCATATTGGAAGTGGCTGTGATTGACAATGGTGCTTGCCTTGAGCTGCCCAAGATCGCCTACATCCGCTCTTATCTTGTCCAATTCGGGTCGGAGTGCCTTTAACAAATCGGCCTTGTATTTGGTCAAGAACATTCTAAGAATCGGGCCATGTGACTTGTTCAAGCAGCAAAACCAATCTACACAAGTGTTGGTACAATTGCGGCATCTGCCTGGTTGATGGCATACACCACAAGAGTATATTACTACCGCCTCGTCAATTTTCCTAATGGCCTCGTTTATATACTCTACACTGCCTTTTTCGTCATTGGGAAAGAGCCCATCGAGATTAGTTCTATAGTCCTTGTAGAGATCATGGTTGTACTTTGGTGCGTATTCTTTATTTGACATCGTTGTCTATCTGTATATTGTTTATATGTATACTGTGTAAATGTCAGGTGATCACAATGAAGAGAATGTTTTGTGATGAGGACTTGTCTGAACTGCTCGTAGGATATTTTAAATTTTGGCGCCGAAATTTGATCTTTGGTTGCACTTTTGATGTGCCAGTTGAGAATCATTTGATTCACAACAACATTTACTAACACACACAAGACATGGATAGACAAAGAATAGAGAGTACTAGAATGAGAAAGCAGTTCAAAGGCTCTCGAAGTGGACACCATCATTATCTTCAGAGACTACGATCAAAGTTGCTTACAGCACTTTACTCAAACACACATGGAGTTGCCGCAGCATTCACTATTCAGAATAATATTATACAAGTCAACCCATCACTCACTCGCCAGTCAAAGTCGTCGATCTACTATCACCGCAAGAAATTGAGTGCTCAAGGAACGTATCATCCTCTTCTTCATGGTGGAAAACGATACTCTCTGCTTGATGATGTCAGGTTTGAGCAGCTGAAGGATTTCCTCCATAGATACATACTCGAGGCGCAACCAGAGAGTCTCAAAGAGATAGTTGACCATGTCAACACTCAGGTCGAGGACATCCAGTTCAGCAGATCATACATACGAAACGTCATCTCAGAACACCTGATGTTCTCGTGGAAGGTGCCAATCACAGTCCAGCATCAGAAGTTCACCTTGGAGAACCTAGAGAGATATGTCTACTTCTGTCATTGGATCAGCCAAGTCGATCTTGATTCTGTTTACTGGCTTGATGAATCTACCTTTGAGTCCAAGAGTAAGTCTTACAACTCAACAAACACTGCACTATTATGCTGTCGCTAATATGTTTGTTCAATGTCGAATAATAGAGTGTTGGAAGAGAAAGTTGTTGGCCCCTAGAGGCAGAGTGCAACCCATTCGCGTCAACAGAGAGTCCTTCAGGGAGTCCTTCTCGTTGATGGCCATGATCTCAATCAACCACGGATCCTACGCGAGGATGAAGGACCATACTGAGGGTGACACCAACAACAGCATCACCTTCTGCTCATTCATCATCAATGCCATGGAGGCTGACTACATCCGACCCAATACCTACATCGTGCTCGACAATGCCAGTATCCACACACAGAGGGACCGCCTCCCTCTCATCCAGGAGATGCTTGATTTGATCAATGTCAAGTTGGTGTTCTTGCCAACCTATAGCCCTGAGCTCAACATCATCGAACTGTTGTTCGCGATGATGAAGAGAGAGTGCCGAGATAAGAACAGAACTGCATCCTTCCTCGACACAATCTCTTCATCATCGCGAACTGCATCCTTCCTCGACACAATCAAAAACGCGTTCAACAAGTATTCTAGCGATCCTACTACAATACTCAACTGGTGTCACAAGTGCTACAATAGATAATAAACAGTGCCCGTAAAGCAAAGCTATTTCAATCAATATCTATTATCCATTACCTCACTTGAAACATCCAATATCATTGAATGAATGAATGAATGAATGAATGAATGAATGAATGAATGAATGAAAGCATCACCCTACCATATGAGTGAACTTCCAAATTAATTTGAAAAATTCCAAATAATCGAATTGAAATTAAATACACAACAATTTGAACTCATTGATCAATATTTCCCTCCTAATTGTCCTTCAGAATGTAGTGAATCAAATATTGATCCATGAGCAAATAATTATAGCTCAGCTAGCTTTATTGTCCGGTTAGTTCAAACTCACTTCAGCCTCCACAAATGGTTTACGAAGTTCAGAATTGGAGGAGGATTTGAAATGATTATGTACACTGTGAGATTTGAACTCACGCTTCCGAAGAAATTAGTGCCTTAAACTAACGCCTTAGACCAACTCGGCCAAGTGTACTGATGAAAGTAAAAAAATAAATCCAACTGTTTTATGTAAATAAATTGCAACTTTTTGAAAACTACGTGTAGTGATCTTACTCACTAACTCGCGCTCGTTGTAGTATGGACTACTACATCTAGATCATCTCACATCGGATATTGGTATAATAGATTATTGGTATTATACTCAATCGAACCACTTCCCATAGTGTCAGTTAACAAACACTCAGTTCCATACAATATACGCACTCACCTAATCACAACTGGTACATATAGTAGTTGTACTCATTCATTAAAGTTCATCCAATTGTTCCCATCTTAAATCCTTGGGTGTCTATATTATCCTTCTGATTGATACAAACACATAACAGCAACACAGATTCATCGCCTCGAACACCTCATTGATTGATCACTGGCTTGGAGCAAAACACTCAATCGTCGCGGACCCCACATTGGAAGCCATCATGGACACCACCACGCAAAACATACTGTATCTATCTTATCCTACTAGTTATATAACTATATTACTTGTGTGTCTGGATCCAAAATACTTCTTTATATTTGGCGACACCTGCAGTCCTTTACCCAGTTATATTAACTCCATATTAAGGTACTTCATTATACTACGCCCCGCCCATCCAGAATGGACTAGAGTAGGCATTTAAACAAAAATTGCAATTTTTTCCCGGTACCATCGTTGGACAACTGGAGCCATTCTGAGGTGATGCTGAGATCTTCAAGGTGGCTGTGTAGTCTAATTAAATATTTCATTCATTATTCATTTGAAGGATTAGACAACAATAATAATAATAATAAGTGATTGATGCAAAAAATATCATTCTTCACTTTTTCAAACATATACAAGCCGCAGAGATACGATCTTTGGTTTCAAACATATAAACAGACTGCGATCAACAAGTAGGTTCGTTCTATGTCCTCCAATATATTCGTTATCCTCGATGATCTTGTCAAGCTGATTGTTAGAGCTTTCTACCCTGAAGATCACATCGTTGTTACAGATGCACTGCTGAAGGAGAAGAAACGGTAAGGTGTCGAATCCACTATGATTCTTGTTTGCCGTAGTTATTTTGGTAGTCTTACATCTACACTCTTATGTTGGTACTTTATTATTCACTCTTTCTCTCATTGCGATCACTATGACAACAACACAACAACAACAGATTTAAGGATGAAGATCTAGCCACCAAGCTAAGATTACCAACGAGGATCGTACGGACAGTGTTGAGCAACCTTCGCAATGATTGCTTGATAAGATCGCAAGAGGTCAAGGTAGAGCCCAAACGACCGGGGGACCGCATCACCACTGCCAATCTTTGGTATATTGACTACAAGTTCCTCATTGACGTTCTAAAGTTTCGATTGTACATGATTGCCAAGAAGATAGAGGAGGAGAACGCAAATGCGACTGACAGTAACCAACACTATAGATGCTCGTCTTGTACAAAAGTGTATGTCAATGACATAATAACTTAAGATGTAACATACAGGTAACCTGACACTCTTTCAAATAACGATACAGATTCACAACGTTTGATTTTGCTCGTCTGTTGACACCAGAAGGTTCACTGGCGTGCGACTCTTGCGGAGGCTCACTACACGAAGAGAACTCAAGCGAGAACACGTTGAAGTCCAACAGACAGAAAGCTGATCAGGACCAGCTAAAGAAGCTGATTGGTCAACTAAAGAAGACTGAGGGCCAACAAATTCCTTTGTGGGCGAGAGATATGGCCGAAGAGAATGTGTATGTACATACATGATAATACCTCAAATATCCAACTGACATCTGTTCTTTTAGCAATACTGGTCCTAAGCTGCACATCAACACTAATTCCTCAACAGCATTTGCCAAGCCAATGTACGTGTAGTAATAATAATAATAATCATCTGATAGATTAGTACTAACACAGGTATTGATTGACTAGTGGTGCCTTCTCCTCTGGCTCCTCATCAGCAACAACCAACGACACTCAGAAATGGATGGATCCATCCTCTCAAACACTAGAGTTCATTGTAGATATCTATGACTCTGATAATATCGATGGTGGACTGGTTCCAACTGCCACTGAGGGTCCAAAGAAAGATTTGTATGTATTATTAGTTATAAATAGGCATACTTGGCTGATACCTATCCTAACAAGGAACAATCATCAGGAAAAAGACTGGTAATTCATCAATGCCACCATGGCTCATCACAAAACCGTTTGAACCTAAGAGTAGTAGTTCACAAGCATCATTGACAAACATTAAAGTAAAACAGGTAAGTATATGATGGTCTGTCTTGATGATGGTAACATCAACATGTGATTAATATAACATCCCATGGTCGACCAGGAACAAAATGTAAAACTAGATACAACAACCCAAACAACAAATACACAGAAGGTCACACCGACAAGACCAAAAGCACTTGATGAGAAGTTCTACACTGACTGTAATTATATACCCTTGGCTGTCTCTCTTCCTCTCTGGTACCATTCAATTCCTCGTACTAACACTCACCACCACCATCTACAGATGTTAACAGTCACTACAAGGATAAAGATGACCAGGGCACAGACAGCCACAAACGAAGAGAGTCACCAACTGACGATAACAAGACTGCAAAGAAGGTCAAGCTTGATCATCCTAATATTCAAATCAAAGTTGGTGACAGACTTGTACCAATCACACATGTCACAGAGGATGACCAAGATAAGATGAGTGCTCAGGAATATGAAGAGTTCTGCCAAGCAGTGTATTCTTTCTTTGCCGACCTGCAATCTTAGCTAATAAATTAAATATTTCAATTGTAACTTGTCCAGCTAGAACATATGGGCTGTGTGGACCATAAGGATGGTTAGTCAATTAACTGATCATTTGTAGACATCAATAACAGGATATGTCTACCTCTGCAATACCTTTTTAAACAATGAAATACCTCCCTAATGACATGATTGTTGTTCGGTAGATGTAAGATCCTTTATTTAGAATAGGTAAGTGGCTAGTATTGATGCTGTTGGAAAATATAAATAAAGTTTGTTGTTGTTGTTCGCCATCTTCCTTCCTCTTCACCTTCCTTGTAGAAGGAACTCCAGCTCTCTCTCACTACCTCTCTTACTCATATCGAATGCTTTAATTCATCTCTTCATCGTTAGAGTCACTGCTGTCCTCGTCGTCATCCTCGTCGCGATGGTTGACGCCTCCACCATTCAATGTGGATGATCGGAGGTGGCTCTGGCTGCTGGCGCCTGTGTTGTTGATGGAAAATGCTGATGCCTCGGTCTTGATTACAACCGTGTCGTGCTTGATGGTGCTGTGTTCGGTCTGTTCGTCAAAAGTCAGCTCCACGCGGAAGTCCTGAGGATAATTCTTATGCTTCTTATCCTTGTTTGCCTTGTCCAAGCCAGGCTTGATTACAACTTCGTGCGTCGACACAAAGGATGTGTTCACCCAGAACATAAAGAGTCTGTCACCCTTCTCGCATACCTCGACACGTACGTCACCACGCACTGGAAGCTTGCCAATGTCAAAGGATATGTATTCATCGTGGTCCTCTGCGTCGCGTCCATAGTGTTGGTTATAGGCCTGCTGATCAAAATTAGTGACGGTGCTGTTGCTCAAGCTGCTCAGTATGCTCTGGCTCTGCTGCTTGGTCATTGTGAGCTGTGCAGTTGATGATGATGAGCTGGACGATCCATTGTCCTTCTTCTTGCCCTTCTTCTTGTCCTGCTTGCTGACAGTGGTGTTCAATTGATCTTCCTTTGAGTTGAACACTGTCTTTTTGCCGACACAGACGTTGAAGTTGATGTCGCCGAGGTTGGCCACGTTGGGCAGTGGCTTGAGGACGATCTTCCTAAGAACACGCTCTGGTGGGTTGTAGGGAAGTTTCTCACGTAGATAGCGACTAAAGTAGTGAACATAACGGATCTGACTGGGGATGGTCACACCCTTCTGATTGTAGGTGCGTGCTGCAGCGTAGAACTTGAGCGAGTTCTCTGTCTCTGGCCACTCGCCACAGTAGATTAGGTAGCAGCAGATCATCAGACCCGTTCTGCCCTTTCCGGCCTTACAATGGATCACTGCGATGTTGTCCTTGTCGCGGAGCCACTCGTGTACGTCCTGACAGAACTTTTCAATCAGGCTGAACTCGGGTGCATTGTGATCGTCGAATGGGAAGTGTCCCACTCGGCCATAGAACTTGCTGTGATCATAGTCGCGCTCAGAGCACAGGTTATAGACCTTGAAGTGATCCTTGTGCTTGTGATCGAGGAACTTGACAACCTCCTTCATTGGGTTCCTGAACACTCCCTCCATCTTCTCACTTGGGAATCCCATTGCTATGATTCTAGGTGTGATATCTGAATGATGATGATGATGATGACGATATGTAAGTTATCAATCACATGTGATGTGTGTAGAGAGAGAACGCCAATGAGAAAACCTACAAGATAGATCAAGATCGTATCCATCCTTTTGATACCTTCTCTTTTGCTTTGATACTGCGTTTCGTAGGATGCTGCTCATTATTATTACTATTTATTGCCTGTTTAGCTACTATGAAACTATCTAACTAAAGTAGATGAGGTGTTAAGAGAAAGTCTACATTGTTGATTGATTGATTGATTGATTGATTGACTGTGATCGTTACGTTACATACTAATACAGTGATTGATGGTGATGTCGAACTACCTAAAACGATGATGATGATGATGGACCAACTGCTCTATTTGTTTGAGTTGTTGTTGTGAAGTTTATAATAATGTTGGGATGGTATTACAATTTTGTTATTATTTCTTTGAGAGTACGATTATTACAAAGCATACTGCTGGCGCGTGGATTTGATTGTTGTTATTGTGTGGGTTTTTGGTTTTTGATAATTATTTCGATTTATTTTTCAATCCAAAAATCAAAAAAAAAAAGTTATCGACACCAAACTAATCAAAACCGAAGTCCAGGACTTTGGTGATAGATTTAGTAATATTAAATATATTTATTACTTAGATCTAGATAATACTAGTCATAAGTATATTTATTATTATTAAATAAAAGTTAAAAAAAATCAAGGGGTGTGCAAAAATTGGTTTTATTAATGGCCCAACTGCCAATTAGAAAAAAGTATCTTGATTCCACCAGATTTTTCTTTGGAAAAGTGTTGTTTTTCATAATCAAACGATGAATTGAACATTATCTTAAATAGATACCTTAAAAAGAGGTCTCAATCTTACTGACTTTAGTAAACAGTTATACTTTTCAATCACATTATTTCTTCCAAACATATATTTACAATTGATTTGGTATGTCATAACACACACACTCACACACACATACACACCATTGAGATACTACCAGGTGACGATTCGATTGCCAAGTTTCATACCTTGGACACCCCACACGACACATTGTACACCCACCACTTTTGTCGTCAATCCCTAAACTAACTGGCTACCTACCAACCTACCCAACTAAACAACTCAATAGTCAACACATACAAATCAGAACTCATTGTACAACACCTCCTTACTATATATTATTACTACTACTTTAACAACTACTACTACTTATAACACTATACTATTAAGTAACCATGATACCCGTTGGACTATTGGACGAAGCCGACAGCGACCAACTTTGCCCTGGAAACACGCCCCACGGAGGCAAGCTCATTGACCTGCTGCTCAAGGATGACGAGCTCGTCGCTTTGAAGGCCCGTGCCGTTAACATCCCCTCACTGCTGCTGACACGTCGTCACCAGTGTGACATTGAGCTAATAATCAATGGTGGCTTTTCCCCACTAACTTCATTCATGGACGAACTGACCTATAATGGTGTTGTCGAGAGGATGCGTCTTCCATCAGGTCTTTTGTTCCCCATGCCAATCACATTGGATGTTGATGAGCAATTTGTAAGTTTCACCATCACTCACCATATCCATCTCAGCGCTGACTTATTAACACAACATTGACTTTGTCAACTCTGCGACGCTGTATAGGTAAACAATATAAATGCATCCACCAACAAGGATGTAGCACTTAGAGATGAGGAGGGTAACTTGATTGCCGTACTGAATGTATCGTCCATTTACAAGCCTGACAAACAAAAGGAGTGTCAGATGACGATGGGCTCCATCGACCCCTATCATCCAGGTGTTGATGGAATTCTCAAGTCCAAGGAATACTACATCTCTGGCAAGCTGGAGGGAGCTCAGCTTCCTGTACACTATGACTACAACTCTCTTAGAAGTAAGATCCTAGTTCACTAATCAATCAATCAATCAAACGTCTAATACCAAATCAAATATCAAATAGGAACACCAATGGAGGTCAGAAGACTCTTCCATGCCAATGGATGGACTCAGGTCATTGCATTCCAAACAAGGAATCCCATGCACAGGGCACACAGAGAGTTGACCGTGAGAGCTGCAGAGTGCAACCCAGGCTGCAAATTACTTATACACCCAGTGGTTGGCATGACAAAGCCTGGCGACATTGACTATCACACTCGTGTAAAGTGCTATCAATCAATCATGAGCTCCTATCCAGAGGATCTGGCTACTCTTTCACTACTGCCACTGGCCATGAGAATGGGTGGCCCTCGTGAGGTGCTCTGGCATGCAATCATTCGCAAGAACTTTGGCGTAACCCACTTCATTGTTGGTCGCGATCACGCTGGTCCAGGTGAGGACAAGAATGGAAAGTCATTCTATGAGCCCTACGAGGCACAGGAGAATGCCCTGCGTCATGAGGCCGAGCTGGGTGTCAAGATCCTCCCCTTCCAGATGATGGTCTACGTAGCCGCTCACGATAAATACTATCCAGTGGACAAAGTTCCCGAGGGCCTGGAGACGTCCAACATCTCTGGCACTAAGCTACGTCATCTCCTGCGCACAGGTGGGGAGATCCCCAACTGGTTCACCTACGAGTCGGTGGTCAAGATCCTTCGTGACTCATGTCCACCGAGGTCAAAGCAGGGTTTCACCATCTTCTTCACCGGTTTCTCTGGCAGTGGCAAGTCGACAATCGCCAATGCACTCAACGAGGCCCTTCTGGCAGCGACATCACGCACCATCACTCTTTTGGACGGCGATATCGTTCGCACGTTCCTCTCGAGTGAGTTGGGATTCTCCAAGGAACACCGCGACCTTAACATCAAGCGCATTGGATTCGTTGCCTCTGAGATCAACAAGTCTGGCGGCATTGCAATTTGTGCTCCGATTGCACCATACGAAGGTGCCCGTGAGTTTGTTCGCAATCTGATCAACGCCAATGGTGGCTTTGTCGAGGTGCACATCAGCACACCAATCGAGGTTTGCGAGAAGCGTGACCGCAAGGGTCTGTATGCCAAAGTTCGTGCCGGCCAGCTCAAGGGCTTCACTGGCATTGACGATCCATATGAGGTACCAGCCAACCCTGAACTGCGCATAGATACATCTCACACCACCGTCTCTCAGGCTGTTGAACAGATCCTATGCTATTTGCGAAAGGATGGCTATGTCCAATGATTCGCATGACACAATAAACTACACTGCTGGCTTATCACAATCCCACCCTGGGGATTCGTGCTCTCTCAAGAATCGGGTGGGGGTTGAAGTTTGTGACCCAGACTGAATTCTTTTTTTTCATTCATACATACTTACATTTCACTTGTTCATTCACTAGTTCATTCATTTCTTTTTTAGTTATAAGTTATATATATAAATATATATATCTTTCTTCAGATTTATATATATAAATCTATATTCACAATGAAAAAGACCAACACACCCCTCCCACCTCCAACAGCTTCTGCTGGTGGTCAACAACAACAATACGGACAACCAGCACCAGGTCAATACGGACAACCACAACCTGGCCAATATGGACAACCAGCACCCGGTCAATACGGACAACCACAACCTGGCCAATACGGCCAACTAGCACCCGGTCAATACGGCCAACCACAACCTGGTCAATACGGACAACCAGCACCCGGTCAATACGGTGCTCCTCCTCCAGGCCAGTATCCACCTGCCGGTCAATATCCACCACCTCAACGTCCAGGTCAATACGGTGCTCCTCCTCCTGGTCAATATCCACCTGCTGGCCAGTACCCACCACCTCAACAGCCAGGTCAATACGGTGCTCCTCCTCCTGGTCAATATCCACCTCCAGGACAATACCAACAACCTGGACAGTATGGACCTCCTCAACCACAACAGCCAGGTCAATACGGTGCTCCAGGACAATATCAACAGCCCGGACCATATGGACCTCCCCAACCACAACAGCCAGGTCAATACGGTGCTCCCCCTCCAGGCCAGTATCCACCTGCTGGTCAATATCCACCACCTCAACAACCAGGTCAATACGGTGCTCCTCCTCCCGGTCAGTATCCACCTGCTGGTCAATACCCACCACCTCAACAGCCAGGTCAATACGGTGCCCCTCCTCCAGGCCAGTATCCACCTGCTGGTCAATACGGTCAACCAGCCCCACCTCCATCTGCTGGTGGAGGCGTCAGTTTGGTTAAGTTCTTTGACCACGTCAAGCACAGATACGCTAGAGACTACACTCTCATCATTGACAAGAGTGGCAGTATGGCAGGATCACTGTGGACTCAGGCATCACATGCAGTCTCCAAGATTGCCCCTTTCGCCTGCCAAGCCGATCCTGACGGAATCTCAGTTTACTTCTTCTCGTCGCCCTCAGCACGCCACCCCAAGTATGACAACATTCGCGATGGCCAGACTGTGATTGGTCTTTTCCAACGAGAGAAGCCCAGCGGAACGACAGACCTGTACGGTGTTTTGAAGCAGGCAATCGATGCTCACTTTGCCAACGGCAACAAGCCCGAGACGATCTTGGTCATCACCGATGGTATACCCAACAACGAGAGTGATGTCAAACGATTGATCATCAACACAGCCAACAGACTGACTCGTGATGAGGATCTGTCAATCTCATTCATTCAGATTGGACGTGACAAGAGTGCAACAGTCTTCTTGAAGAGTCTCGACGACTATCTCACTTCGCAAGGTGCCAAGTTTGACATTGTAGACACTCTCACTGTCGAAGAGATGAACAGCATGTCATTTGAGCAGATGATTGAAAAGTCAATATCAGATTAAATAGATAAAGGTCAACAACCTCTTGTATGATATAATAAGATTGTAGTAATGTTACTTTATTTAATCCACAGGTTGTTGTTGTTGTTGGGATCGTTGTTGTTGTTGTGTTACATTTTACATTAATGTATCTATCTTCTATCTCTTCTCTCTGTGAAGGAAGTGCAGACAAATGTATACGATGAAGAAGAACGCTGTGGCAAAAGAGGCGACGATTGCTAGGTCTATACCCTTCCTGGCTTGACGCATGCCAAATATCTCGAGAATATCCTCGCCGGTGGGACAAGAGCCAGGAGGACCGCCACAATTAATGGTGGTGCCCTCAAACTCGTTGGCCATCATGGCCTCGAAGGAGTAGTAGATGAAGTTGATATAGCGCAGCCAGGCAAAGGAGATGGGGAGCTCGTTGATCGTCACAAAGAAGCCGGCAAACAACTGGTAGACTGTGGTGACACCGGCACCAATGGCAAACGTGGAGTCCACTTGGATCGTCATACATGAGATGAATAGGATGAAGAAGTCGCCAGCAAAGTGTGCCAGCACTAGGATGGCCATACAGAAAAAGTAGTTGTCAACACCAGGGTTGAGTCCACTGAACCAGTAGGCGATTGTTCCTAGGATAAAGGCGGTGATCACGCAGGCCAGACACTCAAAGAACATCAAGGCCAGGTAGTAGGGTAGAGTGTGGTAGAGCTTGGCTGCACGCTCGGCGTTGAACAGTGTTCGCTTTGAAATGAAAAGACTGATGGAGGCGAAGGGCTGCAGAACCATGTTGATAACCAGGTAGAAGAGTACGGCGGCACGGCTCTGAGCACCCTTGGGTGTCATGGATAGGTTGGCAAAGCAGGCTCCAAACAAAAGCCCAACAAAAGCAGCAACAATGAAACGGATGATCGAGTTGGAAGGGTTACGATAGAAATCCAATCCAGTGCGTCTCAATAGTACGACGAATTGACTGAACAGTCCGACATTGTACGATGAGGTCGTATAGCGTCGTGATGTCTTGACAGTGTCGGCACCGACTCCAAACTCGTTGATCACCAACTGCACTTGATTCGAATAGTCAGCAGCCAAGCGGTCTCCAATATCGTCTGCCAGTTTCGATTCCTTGATCTGTGTGACTGCGTCCAGAATGTAATCGGCAGGATTAGTCTGCTCGGGGAATGGATAGCCCAGCGCGATGAAGTGCTGTACCGGTTCCGATCCGTAGTACACCAAACGACCCTCTGTCAGCACCAGTACCTTGGTGAACAGCTTGTAAATCTCTGATCGAGGTTGATGGATCGTGCAGATTACTGTGACGTTCTTATCCTGTGTAAGTTCGACCAGTGTACGCATTACGGCCATGGCAGAGGTTGTATCCAGGCCAGAGGTGGGCTCATCCAGCAACATGATCGATGGCGAAGTGACGAGGGAGCATCCAATGGTGACACGACGCTTCTCTCCACCAGACAGGCCACGGATATGGATTCCACCTGGCAACATTCCACCGATCTTCATGTCAGCACGATGTGTCAGTCCAATTTGTTCGAGCACAGAGTTGACACGCTCACTCTTCTCACGGTTCGTCCAACTGGTGGGTAGCTTGAGGTCGGCGTAGAAGCGCAGTGTCTCACGTACGGTCATAGTAGGCAGCAGGATGTCTTCTTGCACCACGTAGGAACAAAGACGTTTGTAGTCATCATCGAAAGGCGCACCATTAATCAGCACTGTGCCTTCAATGTGGCCTGTCTCCTTTCTGTTGGCCAGGATATCGAGTAGAGTGGTCTTTCCAGAGCCTGAGGGTCCAAACACAGCCACCAGTTCACCTGGTGCCACGCTTCCATTGATATTCCTCAGTAGTGTCATCTTCTTTTTCTTGTGAGTGACCTCATAGGATAGGTCCTTAAAGGATAGTGTGACGGCCTTGCGCAAGACCATCTGGGATCGAGATTTTTGGATCTTGACACCAGCCCCATTGCTACCATGGGATGGTTCCATCTCTATGCTGCTGTGAGACATTATTGATGGAGATTGATTGTTTAAAGGTAGTTGTAATAATAACAGTAGTATTGGTGGTAGTATTTGTAGTAGTAATAATACAGATGTTTGGATGTCTGAGGAGGATGAGGAGGGGAGGGATAAATGATTCAGGAGGGATGGACGCGGCGTTTGGGGATCATCCAAACAGTTCAGGCCTAAAGATGAAAGTTGGTTGTTATAAAAATAAAATAAAATTCGAATTCAAAAAGAGATATTTTGAACAATGATCGGGCTAACCAATCAAATCATTAATAGATCGGTCGCATTTATTATCTCTTTGTTTGTTTCTCTCTCTTCTATCTCATATACTCTCTCTCTTTAACTAAATAGAAAGATAAAATATAAAGAGATAAAGGTAGATAGATACTTCAAAAACCTGGTAAACAAAATATAACAAAATTTAATGAATAAAATTAATTAAAATTGATATTTTATGTTCACAACACAACTAGTTGCGAAAGGTGTGCGATCAAACAATCAAACAATCAAACACACACACAAAAACACAACAAACACATACATATAATAAGGGATTTGGTTCGTTATTCTTCTCAATCCAATTGCTTTGTAAACTTACAAACTCGACATTTAATATTCATCATGTCTTGGACACTTGATGTCGATCGTGGTAGACAAACATGGAGATACACTGAGGATAAGGATCACAAACCTACTGATGTCGATGTCCATTTGCTCAATCTAAAGGCCCCTGTATGTCATTTCATGTCATGTCCTTAGTACAAACACATCTGTCTATCATCACGTCTTACAAAGTTCTAACACTTACATATACTCTCTTCTCTCTCTCTCTCCTCTCTCTCTCTCTCTCTCTCTTTCTATATTAGGGAACTACATGCCCAAAGGGATGTAATATGACACCAGCCAAATCTCCCCAAGAGGCCATCACTAAGGCTTTCCAATACTTCTCGGCAGTCCAGACTGAGGATGGTCACTGGGCTGGTGACTATGGTGGTCCAATGTTCCTTCTACCCGGTCTTGTAATTACATGCTATGTAACTGGTTACTCGCTACCCGAGGCACATTGCCGTGAGATCATACGCTATATGCTCAATCGTCAGAATCCAAAGGATGGAGGCTGGGGTCTGCACATTGAAGCCCACTCTGACATCTTTGGCACTGCACTTCAGTACGTGTCTCTTCGTATTCTCGGCTTGCCAGCCGCACACCCAGGCGTGACCCGTGCCCGTGACTTTCTACGAGCCAACGGAGGCGCGGTCGGAATCCCCAGCTGGGGCAAGTTCTGGCTTGCTGTTCTCAATGTATACTCGTGGGATGGTCTCAATCCAATCCCAATAGAGTTCTGGTTGGTGCCCTATGCCTTCCCCATATGCCCAGGTCGCTGGTGGTGTCATTGCAGAATGGTTTACTTGCCAATGTCCTACCTCTATGCTCGCCGCACCACAGCTGCCGAGACTCCGCTAATCCGTGAGCTTCGTCAGGAGCTCTACGTCACGGACTACTCAACCATCAACTGGCCGGCACAGAAGAACTCCATCAATAAGTTGGATATGTACGCTCCACACTCGACGCTGCTCAAGGGTATCAATGCTGCCCTTGGTGTGTACGAGGGAGTTCACTCGAAATGGCTCCGGGACAAGGCCATCGACTTTACCTTTGATCACATTCGTTACGAGGATGAGCAGACCAAGTACATTGACATTGGACCAGTCAACAAGACACTCAACATGCTCTGCGTATGGGATCGTGAAGGACAGTCGCCCAACTTCTTCAAGCACGCCGATCGTCTTCAGGACTATCTCTGGTTGGCCAACGATGGTATGAAGATGCAGGGCTACAATGGATCCCAGCTCTGGGACACTGCCTTCACCATCCAGGCCTTTGTTGAGACTGGCATCGCTGGTCAGTTTCCTGACACAATGCGTCTGGCAAACCACTATCTCGACATCTCCCAGGTGCCAGACAACTCGCCAAATATGAATCACTATTTCCGTCATATCTCCAAAGGTGCTTGGCCCTTCTCCACTGTGGACCATGGTTGGCCCATCTCAGATTGCACAGCCGAGGGTGTCAAGGCCGCATTGTCACTCCGCTCACTGCCATTTCATATCGCACCCATCTCGATCGATCGTGTCGCAGAGGGCATAAATGTCATCCTGTCTCTGCAGAACAAGGATGGTGGATGGGCAAGCTATGAGAACAAACGAGGACCCAACTGGCTCGAGAAATTCAACCCATCCGAGGTGTTCCAGAACATCATGATCGACTACTCCTACGTAGAGTGCTCTGCTGCCTGCATTCAGGCTATGTGCGCCTTCCGTAGCCAAGCACCAAACCATCCACGAATTAAGGAGGTTAATGGTTCAATCGAGCGTGGTGTCAGATTCATCAAGAGCATCCAGCGTGACAATGGCAGCTGGTTGGGCAGCTGGGGAATCTGCTTCACCTATGGAACGTGGTTCGGCGTTGAGGGTCTTGTGGCGGCTGGTGAACCTCTTACATCGCCGCACATTGTCAAGGCATGCAAGTTCCTTCTCTCCAAACAACGTGACGACGGTGGCTGGGGTGAATCCTTCATGTCCAATGTCACCAAAGAGTACGTCCACAACGATCAGTCACAGATCGTCAACACTGGTTGGGCACTTCTCACTCTGATGGCAGCCAAGTACCCACAGCGTGAGCCAATAGAGCGTGGCATCAAGTTCCTGATCTCTAGACAGTATCCAAATGGCGATTTCCCACAAGAGTCCATCATTGGAGTGTTCAACTTTAATTGCATGATCAGTTACTCAAACTACAAGAACATCTTCCCATTGTGGGCATTGGCCAGGTATTGCAATATCTATCTTCAGAAAGCTAATCTTTAATGTATTGTGTACGTAAGGATAAATTGTCCAAGAGTCCACAGATTCCTTTGGATCAATAAACTGGACATGGATATCCATAACGACATTTATATTGTTAAATTGGTGATGTGTCTCTTCGTAGAATTGGGATTATTGGTGCTAAGAAAGCGATTTTCCCAAGCGTGCCTCATATTGTATTGATATACAATCCCGTCAATGTAAAGGAACTCTATCGTTGATTGCCAATCATACATCGACGAGTATTACAATTTATCTCTGGAACGTTCCAACATTTATTTATAAAAAATTATACTGATTGATTGACATTGATTTATCTCGGTGATAATTTACAGGTAACGTTTTAAATATTCTCTCATTCTATTAATACAATCAAAATAAAAAATTAATTTTGAATTTTCAATACATATTCAATCTTTGGAAATTTCCATATTCATCACACTCAACGAAGGAATGACCAATCTCTCCCACCTTTCAAACTCCGACGTCGACCATGACGACACAGCCGTCGCACTGCTCTTGGATCAAGAGAAAGCCTTCGACTCCATCTCACACTCAGCCATCCACAGGACACTCGACCACATCAGGATCCACCCATCGCTGACGCAAGCCATCCTTTCACTCCTGATCGACTCTGAAGCCACAGTACTCATCAACAACCAACAAACTTCACCATTCACAATCGGAAGGGGGGTCCGTCAGGGAGAACCCACCAGCCCAACTCTATACGCACTCGCAATCGAATGCCTTGCAAGAAACATTCAGAACGACCCCCGCATCTTGTGTACCCACCCACAACACCGACACCACCCTATCACCCACGCATACCTACGACAGCTAATGTATGCCGATGATCTCACWTTGGTAGCCCCATCCTCAACTCAACTGGACAAATCACTCATACACGTAGACAACTTTGGGAAAGCCACCTCATCCAAGCTCAACCCAGCAAAATGCTTCTACTTCTCCATCAAAGACTCGACAATCAACCCAGCACACGGCTTCACCAAAGTCGCAGTCAACAAATCAGAAACATATCTTGGCCACGAGTTCACCCACGACSGCCTCCTCAACAACATCCACAGCAAAGTCCAGACRATCACAGCACTCTTCATCCAATGGAAACAGTCCTGCTCAACATTCAAAGCCAAAACATGCATCATCAAGACCTACATYCTATCCAAGCTCACCTTCCTCCAGAACCTCAACAAAACCTCCCAGAATGACATCAGCACCATCAACAACCTCATAGACTGGTTCTTATCAACATCCTCTCAACCATACTACCACAACAGTCACTACAAACCACAGATGTCCCCTCTGCGCCGCCTACTTCCGATGAAGTATGGAGGTCTAGGCATCTGGGACCTTGAAGCCCGCGACACTTCCCTCAAGGCCCAAGTCTTTGACACCTTCCTCAACAACCACACCACTCTCCCTTATGGCCCATCCTGGCATCACAACCTAAAAGAACAAATTGCTTTCAACACAGAAGCCGACCTCCAAGAACGCAACATCCAAGGTTTCTCCTGCCTCTCAGACACCCAGGCCATCTGCTACTCAGCCTGGCTCCAACTAAACCCAGCCGCTTCAACCCTCTCATTCCCTACTCCGATATTCAACTATAACCCTCTCCACTTCGCATCCAACGACACCTCCTTATCAACTACTTCAACATCAACGACCAACCAATATTCAACGTCTCCAACAAACGCATCACCTGTAAACACTACTACCTCCTCCTCATCCACCTCAAATACAAACGCAACAACTCCCAGGCCACTCTACAACTCCCTTTCACCCCATCACAACTTACCTTCCAAGCCGATCATGACCTGGACTACTCTCTCCTCCTGCCTCTCATCACAAAGGTCAGACACAAACAAGCATACAACACCATATTCAGATTTATCACCAAACTCCTACCACTGCCCAAAACTTCCCCTCATGTCCATGCTGTGAAATGACAGCCACCTCCGAGCATATCTTCTTCGAGTGCGACAGCCTCCTACCTCGCCACCGTCAGAACTATCTCACTGCCTCCGCCAACCTACACATCACCACTGGCCCCTGGTCCCCTCGGTCCCTCGACACTCACGACCACCCAAACTCAGCTCTGCTGATCAACCTCGTAGCAATCAATATGCACAAGATTAGGCTCGACTACTGCAGCTGGACACACAAAGGGAAAAAAGCAAGCATCCCTCACGACCCAACACTCATCACCCTAAACTACATCATCAACCTGGAATCTCAAACCACAATCGACAACATCACTTCCAGAACCAACAAGCCCACAGCTAACTACTCCCCACCCGCCTCAATCCGGGAAACAACCAACAACATGATCATGATCAGCGTGTGATGAATGTTACACATGGTATGGCAATACTTCCAAATGGTTTGGTTCCATGACTAGCAAAGTTATCAATACTGAACATGCGGAATCCAGAGAGTGTAACTCTGAGCATCTGTCCCTCTGTAGTATCAGTTGGTGCCACTGGCACAAAGTAGTTTCTGAAGAACCATCTTGGATTGGAAGGCTTTGGAAGGAACTTTGGTGGGATCGTAGAGGGTGTCTTTATATGACCAACACAGTTGAATTAGTAATAGTGATAACTACCATTTCCATGACCATTACTACTGGATACTGTTACGTCTTTGGTACTCAGTTGACCTCCTTTGTGTTGCTGCTCTAGCCATGGATACTTTGCGTTGTACTGTGCCAATGCCTCTTGGTAGGATTGTTCGAATTGCTTGGCCGACTCAAACTTGGCGCCGCCAATCAGTGCCTTGGGGAAGCACTCTTCGCACACTTTGACTGGATGTGAGAAGCCCAGATTGAGTATTGTGGACTAACGTGCACAGCACTTGGAACAGAACACCTTCATGCAGTGACGGCAATGATGCTTGCGAACAAACAACGAGAACTTCTCCTTGCATTGATTGCAATTCTTGACCTGTTCATCGTCTTCCCATACCAGGAGGAATGTCAAATATATCAAAGTCCCAGTAGACCATCGATCCGATTCTCGTTGCTTGACCACTCACTTCTGCGATGGTTGGACTTTCACCTGTTGCCGTTGAGTTAATCGTCCATGTGACTGGGATGGATGTGGGTGAGCCGTCGGGACTTCCAAACAGAGTCTCCCCAGTCTCTGTCTTGATGGTTGAGCCGTTTCTTAGAATGATATCCAAGTATTGTGATGACATGATTGTTATTATCTATATGTTGTTGTTTTGCTGATCGCTGATCTGATCCAGACTATGAAAGGAAAGTGGATGTTGTTGGCAATTCTAGAAATAGTCATTTATTCAATCACTGAATGATCTCGTCTGTTCCATTACGTTTAATAGTTGCCAATGCATCAGAGTATGGACGGAACAGTTCCTTGAGTTGATTGATTACACTGTCGGGTTGGAATGATTGATTGACGGCATCGACAAGTGTCTGATTCTCTTGTTGCATCTTATCAAACTTGATCACAACATTGTTGATATCAATACTCTTGAGATTTGCTTTAGATGTTATCCTGTTGAACTGTTTGGATAGGTTGTCCACTTTGTTAATCTCTCGTTGATTCTCTCCCAATTTCTCTTTGATGATTCTATCTCTGTCGCTTGTTATCTTCTCCCAGTAGGCAACCAATGATTTGCTTACCTCCTTGTCATGAACTCTTAGCTTGGTTGGGTCATCATCTTCTGCAACACCACCATCACCACCACCGATGATGGGGAGTTTACCAAGATCTCCACCAGACAGGATATGCTCCAATTGCTTGTCGACTCGACCAACGTCTTTGTCAAGCTTGGCGATAGAGTTGACCACCACTGCACGGTTAAGATGATCATCGTCGTCAAAATCATGGACAAGTCGATGGTTCAGTTGTTCGACTCGTTGCTCATTCGCATGTTTCTCGACAACTCTTGCCAGTGTTGACTTGGTGCGTTCGTCTGGTTCAGTATCCCCACGTGCGCTGTCTGGTTGCATGTTGAGTTGCGTGAAGTAGAGTTCCAACCGACGTCGGTCTTCAACTGGTATAGCATTGCGTTTGTTTGTATCCAACAGGTCTCTTCCCCATCGCTGCAGTGTGTTGAGTACTGTCGCCGACCTCGTTGCATGCATCTGTTTAATATCATCGTCTGTCACAGTCATACCTAAGGCCATTGTATCGCGCTCCTTGTATTCTCGTGTTATCCTGTTCAACTACTCCACCCTGTCTTGATTGTTGGAGAATAAATGTCGATCAATTAGTGCGCGCACATCATCAGGTGGGTGGTACTGGCGGACGATGTGATTGAATGGATCAATCCCAGTCTTCTCATGTAAAGATATATTTATATATATAGATAAAATAGTTCCTGAAAATGTCACAAAACATAGGATAGCATTAAAGATGTCATCTCCAGCACACACGAGCAAAGTAATGATCGCAGCACTGGATCATCGATTGTTGACCGACGTCGACAGACAAGGTAGCTTGATGGCGGTTGCTCGCAAAGGTCCTGCGAGTGGTCGTTGGTGAGCTGCTCATACTTCCACCAGCTCGCTGCCGATTCTTGAATGGTCGATCTTCAACTTCTCAAGGTCTTGACGCATCTGTTCGAAGTCCTGGTCGTCACCACCTTCGCTCATGATACTCTCAGAGTCCTTGTCTTGACCGAGGCATCATTTGTGTTGTTAGTGAGGTCATCGTCCATGTCATCGTCCTGTTCTTTGGCTGAGTGTCTTGAACACAAGGATCAGAGAGTTGACTGTGTGTTGTCTAAATATCTCTGATCGTACAAGTCGAATTATCCTCCTTTGTTTGGCTGGCCTGCGTTGGCATCATTGTTGATAACATGATCATTCGCTACAGATGAAGTGGAAGGTCAAGTTAGTATGAGTAATTGAGTGTCAAGAGTGGTATGATTCCTTACTCAAGCTACTCGATACTCACGTTGGTGCTCAAGACTATAGATGTTTGGTGTCAGCCAAATGGGTTGGCTGGAATGCTGAAGATGCCATAGAGGTCCTTGTCGGTCTTGGTTGCGCTCGCCAATCTGAATGGTCAAGATGTTGTGTATTGGCACTTCTCCTCCCGTCCGTGGAATGGAGAGAGTATCGCAGATGTTGAGAGCAGGAAATGTGTGGCAACACTAATAATGTCGCCCAACAAGTTGACCGATGTCGTGCTAGGTTGGTACCTGTATACCAATTTGTCGCTCCGGATCACTAGATCGTGATACTATTGGTGTGACAGGTGTGCTTTGCTGCCATGTCCACACTGGCTGACTGTAATCTCTTGGGCAGCATGTGCTGGTCCAAGATCGATCGAGGTGACCAGTAGTTTGTTCCCTTTTTGGTACATCCACTATCTATATATAGAGTTGAAAACTTGGATGTCCTCCTTATTGATAATCCAGCACGTCCAAGTGACTACATATATGATGTGATTGTTGATTAACGTGTGTGTTGTGATAGGCGCCGGGTCTCCACTGTTGGCCTTTGATCCAAGGATTATTAGTTTGGTAATTAAAGGCGTTGAATGTTGGTGCATCGCTTCATCTTGGTGAGATGATAGACAATCGATCAAGTTGTTGCACTATAGCTGTTGATGTTGGTGAACCGAGTTGATATAGATTACGATGAACAGCAAAGAATGTGGTATATCGCTTCATCTTGATGAGAAGAGTCTGTTGGAGTTCATAGGAGTTGTTGGATGATGTTTGTCCTTGGTTGGTGTGCGACGATCCAAGTGAGCTGTAATTGGTCGTTGTTTCATTGCTGTCCAATGACTGTAATTCCTATGAATCACTTCAAGAGTGATGTATAATATATTGATCGCTTCATCTTGAAATGTTGAGTATTTCTATACTATAATCTTGATTGGTATTAGTTATTGTTAGAAGAAGAAGTGCGACGATAGGTCCAAGGTTTTGGTTGTTACCTGTGAAGTTGAATGTTGATGACCAAAGTTGATGAAGATTACTCCAACGACAATGAATATAGTATGTATCGCTTCTTCTTGATGGGTCGAGTCTGGTGATGTGTCATAGGTGTTTGTTGGACGATGTTGGTGATCAGTGGAGTGCGACGATCGTAGTTGAAGCCACAATGTGAGTGCATCCTGGCTGTTGTTGAATGTGTTGCTAAAGAATAGCTTCAGAAGTGATGTACAATATATCTATCGATTCACCTTGATGTGCTGAGTCTGTTGGTATGTCAATTGTAGGTGTTATCGAGATGTTGGTGGCAGTTGGAGTGCGACTCTTGGCGTGTAATGGGAAATGATGTCTCTGCAAGCTTGTACTTTGTAAGAATAGGTTCAACAGTCACATATTATATATATGGATCGATTCCTGTAGATGTACTGAATCTGTTGGTGTATCAAACGTATGTGTTGAACATTGTTGGTGCATCATCGTTGTGTCGAGACGCATTCGAAAGGCATTCATGATGTCTGGTGTGATGTTGTTCAATGATGATGATTGATAACTTGCTCGATTCGCGTTGATGAGAGGAGTAACAAGATATATTATGCTGAGGTGTTGAATGACGTTGTCAGGAGTTGATAGATCGACCTTTATCAGTTGTTGTTGTTGTTGTTGTAAACCTGGATGACATAAAGTGGATGATGTTGTTGTATAAGCTTCAATGATATTGTTTAATCAAATGATCCACTGTCTGTATGTATTTGTACTAAGTTATATGTATCATAGTTGTTAATGACTTGTCTATTGAGTCATTGCCAAGTGATTCAAACAACTGTGAAATTCTCATTAAAATTAATTATTGTTTATTAATATTTATTTATTTACAATATGTTCTTTATACAAGTGTAAAGTATTATAGAATAGGTTGAATGATCATGGTAGGTATGTAAGATAGTCGTATTGTTGGTGGCATCTTTGTATCTATGATTTATAACTGTTTGAAATAGTAAKGWGTTCGAACTTCCGTCCCATACAAACATTATMAAGAATAAAGATAACTCTATAAAATTGAAAATATTATTTTTAAATATTAGATTTGATGAATAGTGCCAAAAATATAATTAATCACTTTCAATAACAATTAATTTCAAATWTAATAGAATTGGCCAAWACATTTTTAATCAAAAATCAATTTTAATAAAWTAACTCKTATTAAATTGAGAATATTACTGAGATATATTATTTGGTGTAACTAGATAWCKCTATTGAATGGGATAGTCCCAATGATTATTTTTCAATAGTCTACCACACAAATGTTTAACTTTGGATTTTTTTAAAGGAATCGGTTTGATGACTTCCTCACACATAAATTTATATGAATAGTATGTATAATAACACTGGCATTTAAATGGCTATTCAATGSCTATTCACTGGCAACTCACTGGCTATTCACTGGCTATTCACTGGCAACTCACTGGCTATTCACTGGCTATTCACTGGCTATTCACTGGCAACTCACTGGCAACTAACKGGCACCTCACTGGATATTCACTGGATATTCACTGGATATTCACTGGATATTCACTGGATATTCACTGGATATTCAATGGATAATCATCAATGCTCCGTAAGTTCAGGTGAATAGTTATTAACCTTGATCTGTAACTGAACTATTCATTAATTAGGTTAATATTCAGGTGTATCTATTACAATTCACTGAAGTGACAGTTCAGTTATTTATCTTGGTAGTATAGGTCAGATAATATCTATATTACAATGAATAATTGTGTATTCCACGACTCATCATGGGAAGACTACACCCTTGTCGAATACAGTATGTTTCATAAGTTATGGCCACCCCCTGTTCAAACAGGTACGAGTTTGATATCTCCTACAAATATGGTTCAAGATTCTTATTCACTTCCAAATATAGTAGTCCACTTTTGCTCAAAAATTTCCATTTATGAATATTTTTCCAAAAATGGAATTAATATATCTTTATCATTCAAACGATATTTTTGTTAAAGTAATGAACATGTCCATTATTTATGCAATAGTAAAGAATGAATGAGTTCAAACATCAAACACTTTGTTGGAAGAGATAGAATATTATTTATGTACATTACAATTAATCATGTCATTAACAGAAGAAGAGAGAGCTAAAATCGTGAGAGCCAGAAGGAGAGGATATTCAAAGAAATTAATATCAAAGATGTACAATATTTCCCGATCAACTGTGAGCAGGACTATTCAACGACACAGCGAGCGAGGAGACTTCAAGGACCGTCTCAAATCGGGACGCCCTTCAAAGTTTTCAAGAAGACTTAGAAGGAGGATCATCAAAGCTTTGGTCAGGAAGGAGGTCATCACTTTGGACGAGTTGAAAGCCAAACTTGAACTGAGATACGATACAGAGATATCAACGGCTCAAATATCTCGTATCGCTGCAAAGGAAGGTCTCACCTATCGCAGTTTAAGCAGGAAGCACGATCTAAAGCAAGTAAACGCAGATCAAAGGCTCGAGTTCGCTATGGCTCATCGAGACTGGACAGCGGAACAATGGGAACAGATAGTATTCTGTGATGAGACCACAATTGAGTCCAACTTCAAGAACTACCGTCAACACGAGTGGGCTAGACAAGATAACAACACATTCAGTCGAGTTCATGGCATCAGGAGACTTCCCGGAACCAAGGTCAATTTCTGGGGATGTGTCACGAGTGCTGGTGTCGGATATCTCTCTGAGATTGAAGGCAATTTAGAAAACACTCAATACACGGAGATTCTTGATGATGCATACTCTCGATCCATCCGATATTATCATGGCCAACTCCCAGACTTTACACTGGCGATGGACAACTGTCCAATTCATAGAGCAACAAATGTCACCAGCCACTTGAGAAGGAAGAGGATACCCACCCTATTCATTCCCCCATATTCACCAGACATCAACATTATAGAGAATCTTTGGGCGATCTTGAAGAAGAGAGTCAAGAGAGAGCTGGCAAAGAACCCTGGAGTGGTCCTTTCCGACCTTGCCAATGAACAATGGGAGCTAATGGATGACAGCATTGTTGAGAACCTATACGCCTCCTTGCCACAACGAATGGAGGACATTATAACAGCGAATGGATGGTGGACCAAATATTGACAACCTCCTTTGTCATTATTCTAGTTCATCGTTCCGATACCTTCGATCAATTTTCGTTGCATAAATAATGGCCATGTTCACTACTTATC